CATTCAAATGAAATGAATGAAAAGAATTTGCCAAAATGGTTTTTTACTTACGTATGTATGTACATTTTTCCTGTCACTTTCTTTATTAGTTTGTTCATTGTTGCTCCGTTTTTCACTACTTTGTTTGGTTTCTGTTTGCTTTTACCGATTTGTTTGCTCTAATTAAATCTTATCTAAACAATTTTAAGCACACATTATTTCAATGGCACTAGGAGCAGAGAAAAAATCTCGAAAGCTCCGCGAACACACAGAGTTGGGGGCAATGTTCTAAAGCAAAGGCTACATACATACATACATACATATGCACATATACATATGCACGCCTCTATAGATTTCTCATATAGTGTATATATGTATGTATGTACACATGATTACATAAAAATTATACTGCAAAACAGGGGAAAGAGGATTCGGGGGGACAAAAAAGCAAAAAGTTGCCACCACAAAAAATGGGAATCAAAATCAATAACTCAATCGGCATTCGTAAAGAAGCAAATACAATAATAATAAAAAAAAGGCACAAAGCGACACAGAACTGATCAATAAATAATGCGTATATATATGTACATACATACATACATACATGCATAATATGTTATGTATGTATATAAATAGCGATTTACAGGGAAACGGGTTGCGTTTTACCCACAGCCGAAAGGCAATCGAAGGCTATCCTGTCTCGTGTCTTTTCTCGATTTTTCTGGCCTTCTGCCCCAACTGTCACATGATGACAACGAAATGCGATTGAAGCACAACACCCGATAAAGATGAGGGGCCAAAGAATCGGAGGTAAATCGAGGTACCCGCCCGACCCCGAACCTCTGAGTCATAATCCCCTCCACACTCCATACTTGAACAATACGCTCATCCTCTAAATCGTAATTTGTACCTCATTTATACACAAAACTTTCAATGACAAATCGATTAAGGTATTCAGTTTGCCGTTTTTTGTGTTATACTCATGAAACACTGATTGCTAATGTTGGTGGAATGTCAAAACACATGATAAATACATCTACATACGTATGTATATACGTATATAATACACATTTGTACTATCCTGCATAAAAATCACACTGCACACAGATAAGAAAAGCCTGTAAAATCGATCTTCGCAAATTTTCGTTAAACCCTTTACTTGGGGAAATATTTCGAGAATTTGTATAACAGTCGCCACAATCTCTGTAGAATTCCCCTCTATTTTCCTACCGCTTTCTCTGCGTTCGTTATCTTTCTCTTCCCCCTCCACGATTTGCGTATATAATGTACTTGTTTTCTCATACAACTGCATGCATACATACATACAAACATACATATGTATGTATGTACACGAGTATCCCCGTCTTTTTTCCGTTGATAAGAATAATGAAGTTAACTCATAGAACCATTTCGATTCCGTTCGTATATGCCACATATACCATCCACTACACTACGCCATATTATCCCCCCTCCCCCCACATCTGTTCCCTTCCTTCTTATTCTGGTTTCTACCCGCTCTTTCCTTCCTGTCCTCTTGAACTGCTCTAAAAATACACTAATTGCCCCAGCGCCTGCAGTTTCGTTTTAATTTTATTCTTTTTAATAGTCCTCAAAAATTCCATTGGCCTGAGAAGTGAAATTTTTGTCAAGATTTCTCACCTATGTATTTTTGTATGTATGACAAAAAATACGAAAAAAAAAAAAAATAGGGAATATTCATTCTACCAGATGCGGTAATGTTTCTGTTGTTGCTTCTTTGTCTGGCGTTTTGGCGATTTTCGGTTTTGTTTTGTCATGGATTTTTTTTTAAATTTTGATAAACAGAAAAACGGTTCACGTCGACAAAGTCGATTACCTCATATGAAATATTTGCTGTTGACACAGGCCAAAATAAAAAGACTGTTAATATACAACGGATTTTTTTTCTCGCCCGTAAGCTTTTGGCAATTGCCTATGCTGTGTGCCACGCCCATCGTCTGACTTCTGGCCCAAACGCCCACTCGAGGTTGTATCGGTTCAAAGCTTTCATTTTCCAGGGACCCCCTTCTATCTTTTTTTGCACTCTATTGAAGTGTATTTTACTTTAAAGGGTAGTTTAAAAGATTAATATTGGGAACGTGAGTACTTTTAGCTTTGTTTTAAGTAGTGTTTGTAGAACCCTGTGAATCTCATTAATCTTATCATATATCATGCCTTCCAGGGTATTCAACTTTTCGCCCTGATTTTCGTTGGCCTTTTTTGGGGGCTTTTACTTTTGTGAGTTTTCTATGTCGCCGCCTTTTATTATTATTACTAGCTTTTTTTGTGTTGTGAGCCGCGCAGCTGACGTCGCTGCCTCTGCCGGCGCCGCAGCTTTGGCGATTTGCGCTTTGCGTTGCGCTTACTCACAATCAAATCTCACGCCGCATTTTTAGTCTCAAAAACACGCGCAGCCAAAACGAAGCGCAAACCAAAAGGAAAACGAAAGAAGCGAAAAAAAACGAAACGGGCGAAAAACGCAAAACGAAAACGACGGCACATCGTCAAACGTCAGTTGCCTTTTATTTATTTTATTTCGACACTCTTTCGTTCATTTTTATTTTTTTCTGTGTTCAACTTCTGTATTTCCGAGTGTTCGTGTGTGTGTGTGTGTTCCCATTGTTTTTGCATTTCGCGTTTGCTCAAATAGTAAATTAAACTGTTTTTAAAGTATAAGCGAGGGGGTGAGAAAAAGTAAATGGAAGCGGGGCGACGGCAACTCGTTCGTCGTCACTCGCTGCGTTTTTTGTTGTCGTGGGTCGTCTCTGTTTTCCACTGACTGGGTCGCTCTCTTCTCTCCCCCTTATTGTCACTCCCCTTCGCTATCCCATACCCTTGCTTGTTCTTGTTTTTGTTGTGTTTGTGTTTGTTGGTGCAGCATAATTAGACGCCGTCGATTTCTCGCGACTTTGCGAGAGTAATAGTACTGCCTTCTCAGCGGGATTTTCAGTTATATTTTGCATGTGAAATAAATAAAATAAAAATATAGTGTTATTTTTGCAGTTCAAAATTTCCTAATGGAATTTACCTCCAACTTTTTTTCTATCCGATTATTATTTGTTGGACAACACTGTCTCTGTGGTGCATTTTCTCGCCTCCTTCTCTCGTTATTTTTTCCTATGTTTTTTCGCCATTGTTTTGTTTTAGCATTCGCGGCATGTTAATTTGTTGTTTCTCGTTCTCGGTGCTTTTTGTGGTGGGCTCTTTTTTTTTTTTTTTTTATTTTTTACTCGTCGTTCTGGTCGTTATCAAAAGGGAAACAATGAAAGGCAAACGACAAACAAAGACAAACTGATAAACGTCAAAAGCTTGGCGCATATTTTAGAAATTTTGCGTTTTTTACCCAAAGCTTTTATATATTTTAATTAGTTATGCTAGTGCTTCCCTCGTCTTCGTTTTTCTCCTAATTTATTTCGAAATTTGTTTAGTATTTCTGATCGGAAATTATAGTCCAATTAGGAGGGTTGGAGTAAATATAATCGGCAGCAGCAGAACTATGTACATATGGTAAATTGTGTTTTATATTCCTTGTATCATATGAATTTGTACGGTTGACCCAGTTGATTAAAATCGTAAGAAAATACTTCTAGATTTTGCCATTTAACATCTTCGATAAAATTTCCTTTAGTTTGTTTGTTCGTGATTCTCTCGTTCTCTCTTTCGCCACGTCTTCTTGGTCTTTTAGTGTCTCTGTTTTGCTCTTTGCTCTTTTTTTCTGATTGTGCGACAACTGCTTAACAATTTACAATTATGTATGTATGTATATGTATGTATGTATGTATCAAAATACAGTGGACACTAGAATATTGAAAACAAATATGTAGATACGCATGTGTTAGAAGATTATTATTACTTGATGCAACTTTTACCCTAAAGGAACTTTTCAAGTTATCAACGCCATTAAAAACTATTTTCTTAATATCAAAGTTACGTATACAGAGTTTTTACTGTAGTTTCGTGTGCACATCTGACGATTATATAGGCGTCCAAGTGTATTTGTTGATTGACTCAACTTGACGACGGCGACACACGCGCGCCCAATTCACAAAACTTTTGTTTTATACACCGAATCTTTTTTCCCCCGTCTTTTTTATATTTGTTATGCTGCGCGATTACGTCAGCTGACATTCGGTTTTTATTTTTCGGGGACCTGGGAAAGCATATGTCCACATATGTATAATACACACATCACTAACTAACTCACCCGTATGCAAAATGAAGAAAAATAGGTAGAGAGGTGTATAGAAAAAGTTAATCATTTGGCACTGGCACAATTGTTGTTGGCTTGTTTCGGGTGAAAGTTGCACAAATCAAATGGAGGAAAATCAGCGACGAATCGCAAAAAAAGTGCAACTCAAACTCAACTCATCCGTTAAAAACTAAGAAAAACCGTTGAAAAAAAAATAAAAGAAAAACTAAAACGAAAGACCAGTGGAAATTGCTGCCCAGAGTTAATTGATTTTCATGTTCGTTGTTGAAAACCAAAAACCGAAATATGCAAAAGTGAGTATATAATAAATGTACATATGTGTGTACATATGCATACATATATCACGTCATTCCCATGCCAATGACTTTTGTTGTGTATGGGCACGTAATTTTATTTTCGTCTTGAATTTTATTTCATCTCATTTGCGTCTAATTGATTTTGCCTCATTTGCATACAGCTGTGCTCAATATAATAGTAGGGTTGTCCAATTAAAACAAACACTGCAGAAAGAAAAGGTTTAATCAACTTTATTCAATGTAACTATCGATATTTCCTCAACGTTTTAATTAATGGGTGTATGGTGTAGATGGGACCCTCAGTTCTTTTATCGTTACTATCTCACTTTCTGCAACTACCTTTTTCTGTCTAGCTGCATCACCTGTCATTGGCAAGTGAACCGTTAGCTTGCATTGCATCGGCCAAATAACGGCACAGTCACACAGTCCATGTTTTCATTTCTTTTTTTTTACAAACACTTGTGAAAATAATATACAACTTAGTTATGGTCATTTGCTCTAATGCCAATTCTTCACCAAAATTTTTTTTGAGCGAAAACATTAATTTTTTAATACGAGGTTAATTAATTAATACGAGGTCATCAGGTTTCATTTTATGCGATTGCTTTCGGGTAACAAAGGTAAAGGTGTGAAAAAGAACATCCTTATGTATGTACATATGTATGTACATGGATGTCATACATGTATACATGTACATTTGTATATTAGCTGTACGTTGCAAATAGCGCTATATAAAAAAAAGTTAGCACTATACACATGTAAAATGTTTGCAAAACAAAACATATTTTATGAAATGTGCAATATATCTTAAAATTTGGTATAGTAGAAATTGGAAAACAAAATGTTCAAATGTTGCACAGAAGAAGATGGAAAAACAATGCGAAGAAAAATGTGCAAGCTTTCTAACGCCGCTGTCGGCATCGACGTTGGCATCGCAGTCAGCGGCGCAGCCAGCGGCGCAGTCAGCGGCCTTGCCAACAAGAACAGCCGCGAAGCATCGCGAAGCAGCGGAGAGGCGTTGGAAAAGCGGAGAGCAGAGCGCTGATGAGAGCAGAGAGCAGAGCGGCATTTCGAATGCAGACGGCGGTGGTGTCGGTGTCGTTTTGGTTTTGTCGGCGGTTGCTAAACACAATTTAAGTTCACTCGGTTAGCAGACATTACATACATCTATACAGATGTATTTGTATGAAGGCATGTGTGTGCAAGAAGCCAGAAAAAGGAATAACAACGTTCGTTGAGTCGCGTTCGGTTTTATTTTTTTTGTGTGTGCGTGCGCGTGTGTATAGTGTGCTTTGGATTTGCCAATTTTAGCCCACTGGCTCTCATTGTCAAACTTAAACTTAAAGAGCGAGCAACGTGACGTGTCGCTAAAATTCGCGCACACAACTTCCTACTACAACAACTGAAATAAAGCGAAAGAAATAAAAAAAAAAAAAAACGACTGAAAAAGGCAAGACTTGTTTTTTTTATTGTGCATCTCTATGTGTGTGATTGTCAGTGTGGGAAAAATACAAAAAGAGAACTGGAGAGAGAGAGTGGTACAGCGAGAAAAAGAGCCGCACAAAAAAGAGAGCAAGAGCAGCTGATTTTAGCCGGCAAGTGTCAGCTGTTTCGCGCCAGAGCGAGATAGCTCTACTTCGGCGCGGCGAACATGTTATGTCTTGCACGCCGTCTCCTCTTTGCGCTGCATTCGCTTTAGCAATGCACCAACAACAGCAACATCAATTGGATGTAAAAGAAATTCAACAGCAAAGGCAAAATTGGCGGATACAACAACAGCAAAGAAGGAATGTCGAGGAACTAAGGCAAATTCAAGAAATACCGCAATTGCAACCACATCAAATAAGCAAAACGCACGAAACACTCAAAAATCAACACCTGATACCGCAGCTACTTAATCAAATACAGGAAATACCGCAAATATCGGAAATACACAAGTTACAACAACCAAGTTACCAAATTCAACATTTAACGCAACGACATAAACACATATCTAATTGTCAACAAATCAATGAAACACCCCACATGCAAACTATTCAAGTAACTGTGCAAAGTCAGCAAAAACGACCAGAGTTACATCAAGTTCAGCAACAACAGCTCCAACAAATAAATCGCTTACCGTGTATACCAGAAATACCGCAAATACCAGAAATACTCCAAATACAGCAATTTCAAATAGCGCAGCAAAACCAAACAATACTGGGGGCAACAACAACATCGTTTAAAAACAGCAATAGCAATAGCAACAATAGCTGTAGCAATAGCAATAACATCTACTACTTTAACAGCAACAACAATAACAGTAGCAACAGCAGTGGCCACATAATGTTAGCCTCTGCCAGTGCCTCTGCCGCAGCTCGCAAACGCAGCCGCAGTGCAAGCAACGGTAGCAAGAGCAACAAAGCCACCAGCGGCCGCAAATTAACCAAGAGCGTGAGTTTATTTCTTTTCGTTTTTTTTTTGTTTTCCCTCTCTTCTCTCTCTCTGTTTACATTAAGCAGTTTTGCTCGTGCACGTGCTATTCATGATTGAGAGAACGAGAAAAAGAGCGCAAATAACAGAGCAATGTGCTGAGCGCCCAGCTTACGTCAACTGCGACGCCGGCGTTAACAGCGACGCTCATAAAATTAGGCCACCAAAAAGCAGCAACAAATATTATTTTAATGTTAACCCTGTGGGGATTAATAAGTTAAGCAAATATGCAGCGATAAGGAAAAAGGTAGAAAAATAGAAAAAAAAATTTTTTGATTTATTTGCATGTTCGAAATGTTTTTCTCAAATTCCATATTTGTCCATATTTCCATTTGTCAATAACACCTTAAGAGACAAAGCACACAAATTTGTTGTCAGAAAACTTCACTAATGATTAATACGTAACAAATAAACCTTAAATCTAAAATATTACTCTTAAAATGATGGGTTAATAAGGTGCTATTTATTGCAACGCTAAATTCATTTCCCCGTTTAAAAAAGTTTATATTTAAATTGAAAACAATTTTCAATAGCCTAAATTTAAATGAAAGAAACAACAACAACATTAACAATCAGCGATATTTTATTCATTCATTTGTAGCAGATGTTGCTGCGCTCTCTTCGTTTATCTTTAGTTCTCTCTATCTCTCTCTCGTAATACTTCGTTTCCTCTTCGGCTCGTCATTCGTGTCTAAAAATAAAACAGCATGTGCGCCTGCATGAGTGTGTATGTTCGCTCGTCATTTGTTGTTGTGTTTTTTGTCTGTGGCAAAAGGCAATGAAAACGAAAATTTGCGTGACGTCTCTCGACCTTGACTCATCGTCGTGAACTGTTAAACGTGAACTGTTAAACTGCGCCAGCAGAACTCGGGCAGCGCTGCTAGCGGCGCAGTCGAGCCGAGTTGCGGTTCGATGTGTTTTTACTGTGCTTTTTGCTTTTTACTTCCAATTTTTTTGTCTTTTCTTTGACTTGAAGTCAACGTCTCTTGCGGGATAGCAGCAAACCAGTTTTAAACCACACACACTTACATGCTTACACAAATACACTTCCCTTGTCTTATCAATAAAATTGCCAAAAAATAAATAAACTGGTTCGCTTAGCTTATTTTTAGTTTTGGTGCAATTGGACAGTGAGCTTTATTTTGGGATGTGGATAGTAGCACAACTGATATTAAAGTTCCCCAAAGTTCCACATGTTGACAATTTTGCATGAAAAATTATCATCTTTAAGTTCTCCATCAAAGTTTAAATAAATATACAAATTAAATTGCAAATAGCTTTGTTACTGTATCCTACATAATTTATAAGGTCTTACTAATGCGAAAAACGAAAACTTTCAAACGTTATTTGAACACTATTGGAATGTCTTTCTTTTTTCTGGTTTTCTGCCCTCCCGCCTCTCTCTTTTTCTTGTTCTCGCTCTGAGATTTTCTCTCAATAAGAAATGCATATGCGTAATGCATGTGTGCTCCGTTGGCTTTTAGTGCCACACCCACACAACGCCCAGCCACCCACTTGCGTCTCTCTTCCGCTCCCCTCCTTTTTCTCCTCTCCCTTAATCAATCTTCCAGACCCCTATTTCTCTATCCCCTATTTATGCTGTGCACAGAAAATTATTATATCAAAAAAAAAAAACATTTTATATTATTTAAATAAATACTGACTAACAGAAATAGGAAAGCATTTTCAAATGATCGTTAAATAAATTGATCGGTTAAATTAAGTAAGATATTAAGTCTTGCTAATATTAAGCTCCCCTTTTTCAAGTGTACCAATTCATTCCATCTCTGTCCGCATTTCCATTCCACATTTGCTCCTATGCTCTTTTCGCATGCACCTCTGCCTCTCCCTTTCGCACTTCCCCTCTCTTCTTCTCCCTTTCGCACTGCTGCAGCATAATCATCATCATAGATTTATCTCATTCACGCGCACGTGAGGCAAAGGCAAAGCCCAAAAATTAAGTCGTCGTCGTTTGTCGCTTCTTCTGCTCCCCATCCTTCACCCCTTGTCCCCCATTCTTCACCCCTTGTTATCATCAGCTCATTTCATTGTCTGGTCTTTCGTTGGTCTCGTTCGCTTTGCCTCCCTCTTTTCACTCCGTCTTTCTTGCTTTCTGAGTGCTGCCAATTTCGTATTTCGCTGGCCGTTACAATTTTCACGCTTTGGCCATGTTCGGCAACACTTTTTGTTCCGCAGTTTTCTTTATGCTTCTGTTTCCTCTATAGTGCCTCACCTCTTTTTTTCTCTTTATGCATCAGGACTAATCGGCAAACATGCGACAGCTGTTGTCTAGAAAGAGAACAAGAATAAAAGCGAAGAAGGGGGAGTAGGGAATGAAGGAAATTTACACATGTTATTCCGAATATATTAAAGATTGAAAATTTTTTTTTCAACTTTAAAAACTCAAAAAATGTACATCATTATTCTACACTAATAAGATTAAATTCCTTTAAGGATTTTTAAAGTTAGGGACTTAGGGACACAAATCAGTTGTGTTTGCACAGCAAAATTTGTGTATTCACTTAAGATTATCAAAATTCTCAAATATTTATGATCTGGAAATCTAACAAAGCACACATTCATATCAGAGTTCATGTTAAATATTCCCCAGTATATTGTACCCCCTAAAATGTAAATAGTCTGTGTTTTGTGTTATTCTCTAAACCGATTAACTGCCCATTGGAACGTATTGCACTACTTTTTTTATCCTTATATTACAAATTATTTATCGAGTTGATAACTTAGCTAGTTTATAGCTTTACAAAATATTTGAAAAATTTTTTAATTGTTTTAATTGGCTATCGGAACTCAGTTGTAAAAAAGCCGCTGTTCTGAACATTTACCAAAGATACTGCCCAATATCCAAATATAATGTATTTATTAACAACCAAATAATATAAAAACCTTTCAAGTCTAGCTATTTATCTTGTTTTAAGCTTAATTTGTTTATGATTCCTATAGTGGGTGGGCAGCGCTATTGCCTTGTTGTTTCCGTGTTTAATCATGTGTGTGTGCTTGTGGTGTTGTGGCAATGGCGCCCTCTGCCGACGTCGTTGCTCGCGAATTGACAAAGACGCCGGCTGTTCTCTCTCTCTCTCTCGCTCGCTCAGTTTCTCTTTCCTTCCCTCGCCCCTCTCTCCCATACTCTCTCGGCAAGCAGCAGCTGCTTTCCGTTTTGGATTGGAAGTTCGGTGGAATCGAAGGCAGCAGCGAAAGAAGAAGAAGAAGAAGCTGCAACGCCGCTGGTAACGCAGCTTACGTTTGTAGTTGTAGTTGGTGTCGTGTGTAGTTGTAGTTAGATTTCGCTGTTGTTTTTAAATAAGCGAACGCGCGCGGAAGTTGCGCACAAAAATATTTATTGCTACAAAAAAAAAAATTAAAGCTTTAAAAAAGTGAAGAGGAAGACGCGAATAGTAGAAGCTATCAGATTAATTTGAAGTGTACTTTAGCTCGTTTCTCGTCTCCGTTCGTTTTCGTTTTTTTTTTTCCTTTGCTTTATTTTTTTGCAAATGAGCGAATAGTTACACTCGCTCTCGCTCTTTGGCTCACTCTCCATCTCGCCGCTCTTGCTCTTCTTCTTCTTCGCTTGCTAACTCTCTGTGTGTTTGCACCTTCTTTCTTTCGCTCTGCTCGTTACCATTTAACAAACACACACGCGCACGATGAGAGCGACTGCAAAAAAATCGGAATAAACACGGTTATAAAATATACACATCCGATTTATATATTTATAATATGTATATATAGGAAACAAACATCAAGACAAATGTGAAAATTAGTGCAAACTAAATGAAAAATACAAAAAATTAAAAGAAAAACCAACCAAATGTGATAATATTGTAATAGAATGTGAAAACCCAAACACACACACGCACACACCAATACACGTACACACACACGGGTACGCAGCCACGTATGTGTGTGCAGAAAAATATGCGGCGCTTAAAAAAGGTGAACGGCATTTTGTGACCATAAAAATGTAATTTTTTTTAAACGAAACGAACTTGAAGGCACATAGATAGGCCTCCGTGTTGTGCTAAACAAAAACAAAAGAACATGTTACAAAAAAAATAATGATGTACCTAAATAAGCCATTTTCATTTTCTGCTGAAATTTTTCAACATTTTTTTTTCATTGTCTACGCTTTGCTTTTTGATAAAACATTACACACACATACAGATGCCACTGCATTCGCGCTCTCTGTCGCTATTGCTGTATCCCTCGCACTCGCTCTCTCGCACTCACAGACGCAAGCCGTAGTCGCTTTGTGTTTATCTCGCTCGCACTCGTGCACATATTTTGCACATTCTCCTTTGCTGTCTCTTTTGTTGCCACCGCCCCCGGTGTTGCCACCTAGTCGCGAGTGGCCAAATGTTTCGTGTGTGGCAGCACTCTCTCGAACAAGCGAAAGAGTAGCGCAAAAGGAAATGCGAAACTAAAGAAGCAGCGGAGCAAAACAAAAGCGGCGTCAGTGTTGCAAAGTGCATAAAACGGTCAGATGAAAAACCAAAAGAAAGAGGGGGGAAAAGAGTGGAAATATATTAAGAAAAATAAAGATTAGCAAAACGAAATTAAGCAATAGGAAAATATTCAGTGCGTATAAACATGATCAGAAATGTTAATTTTGTGAATACGTTTCAAATACAAGTTGCAGATTTAAGCATTTATTAGAAGTTCAATATACTGAAAGCTTCCTGAGTATTTGCAATCGTTAAACCCTTTTATAATAATTAACTTTACTAAAGATTTGCAGTTAAAGATATTCGATGTGAACTAATTTTTGGGTTTTTCTTTGCAACTAATTGCAGATGTCCGCCGGCGCTCAGTTGCAAATGGCCCCGCAGACCACTTCGGCCCTAAGTCACCACCATCCCAATCAGCAGCAGCAGTTGCAACCGCCGCAGCAGCAGCCCCCGCCCCCTCCCCCGCAACAGCAGCAGCACTTTGCTAACCATCACAGCGCTCAGCAACAGTCGCAGCAGCAGCAACAGGAGCAACAGAACCCCCAGCAGCAGCAGCAACAGTCGCAGCAGCAGCAGCAGATACTCCCGCAGCAACATCTGCAGCACCTGCACAAGCAATCGCATCAGCTGCAACTGCACCAGCAGCAGCAGCAGCTCCACCAACAGCAGCAGCAACACTTCCACCAGCAGCAGCAACAATCGCTGCAGGGGCTGCATCAGGGTAGCAGCAATCCGGATTCGAATATGAGCACTGGCTCCTCACACAGCGAAAAGGATGTGAACGACATGCTGAGTGGAGGTGCAGGAACGCCAGGATCAGCGGCTATCCAGCAGCAACAGCAGCAACAACATCCCGCCTTTCCGCCCGCCCTGGGAATGCAACAGCCGCCGCCGCCGCCCCAGCACTCCAATAATGGAGGCGAGATGGCCTACTTGACGGCGGGAACGACCACGACGACGTCGGTGACGGCGGTGGGCAAGCCGCGGACGCCGGCGGAGCGGAAACGAAAGCGGAAAATGCCGCACACCAGTGCGGACGAGGCGGGGAGTGGTGGTGGCTCCGGCGGAGCAGGAGCGACCGTGGTGAACAATAGCAGCCTGAAGGGCAAATCCCTGCCCTTCCGTGATATGCCCAAGGTGAACATGAGTCTGAATCTGGGCGATCGTTTGGGTGGCTCGACGGGCAGCGGCGGCGGAGCCGGTGGCGCCGGAAGCGGCGGCAGTGGAGCGGGTTCCGGGTCCGGGAGTGGCGGCGGCAAGAACGCCCGTCTCATGGTGCCCGTCAGCGACAACAAGAAGATCAACGACTACTTCAACAAGCAGCAAACGGGCGTGGGCGTCGGTGTGCCCGGCAGTGCGGGCGGCAATGCCCCCGGGCTCCGGGGATCGCATACGGGCGGCGGCAGCAAGTCGCCCTCATCCGCCCAACAGCAGCAGCAGCAGCAACAGCAGCAGCAACAACAGCAGCAGCAGCAGACGGGGCAGCAGCAGGCGAGCGGCGTTGCGACAGGCGGCGGCGGCAGCGGCGGAGGCGGATCCGCTGGCAACCAGGTGCAGGTGCAGACGAGCAGCGCGTACTCACTGTACCCACCAGCTAGTCCCCAAACGCAGACGCCGCAGCAACAGCAGCAGCAGCAGCCGGGAGCCGACTTTCACTACGTCAACTCCAGCAAGGCGCAGCAACAGCAGCAGCAGCAGCGCCAGCAGCAGCAGACTTCCAATCAAATGGTTCCTCCTCACGTGGTCGTCGGCTTGGGCGGTCATCCGCTCAGCCTGGCCTCCATCCAGCAGCAGCAGCAGACGCCCCTGTCGCAGCAGCAACAGCAGCAGCAGCAGCAGCAACAACAGCAGCAGCAACTGGGTCCGCCGACCACATCGGCGGCGTCCGTCGTTCCGACGCATCCGCATCAACTCGGCTCCCTGGGCGTGGTCGGCATGGTTGGCATGGGCGTGGGCGTCGGCGTTGGCGTGAATGTGGGCGTGGGACCGCCTCTGCCACCGCCACCACCGATGGCCATGCCGGCGGCCATTATAACGTACAGCAAGGCCACGCAGACGGAGGTGTCGCTGCACGAGCTGCAGGAACGCGAGGCGGAGCACGAGTCGGGCAAGGTGAAGCTGGACGAGATGACGCGGCAGTCGGACGAGCAGAAGTGCCAGATACTGGGCAACCAAAAGACGATCGACCAGCACAAGCTGCACATTGCCAAGTGCATCGATGTGGTCAAGAAGCTGCTCAAGGAGAAGAGCAGCATCGAGAAGAAGGAGGCGCGGCAGAAGTGCATGCAGAATCGCCTGAGACTCGGCCAGTTTGTCACCCAGCGAGTGGGCGCCACATTCCAGGTGAGCGAGCAATCTGTTATATTGGATATATTGAATACGAAGTATTAACACACTTTATTTTACGCACATTTACAGGAGAACTGGACGGACGGGTATGCGTTCCAGGAGCTAAGTCGGCGGCAGGAGGAGATAACCGCCGAGCGGGAGGAGATCGACCGCCAGAAGAAGCAGCTGATGAAGAAGCGTCCGGCGGAGTCCGGACGCAAGCGCAACAACAACAGCAACCAGAACAACCAGCAGCAGCAGCAGCAGCAGCAACACCAGCAGCAGCAGCAGCAGCAGAATTCCAACTCGAACGATTCCTCGCAGCTGACGGGCGGCGTTGTCACCGGACCGGGCAGCGATCGCCTGGGCGGCACGGCCGGCGGCGTCAGCGTCGACAGCGGACTGGGCGGCAATAATGCGGGCGCCATTGGCGGCGGCGGCGTTGGAGGCGGCGGTGTCGGCGGCAGCGGTGTTGGCGGCGGCGGCGTGGGCGGCGTCGGTGGCGGCGGCGGACGTGGTCTGTCGCGCAGCAACTCGACGCAGGCCAATCAGGCACAGTTGCTGCACAACGGCGGCGGCGGCTCGGGCGGCAATGTGGGCAACTCGGGCGGAGTCGGCGACCGGCTGTCCGATCGGGGAGGAGGCGGCGGCATCGGAGGCAACGACAGCGGCAGCTGCTCGGACTCGGGCACGTTCCTCAAGCCGGATCCCGTTTCGGGGGCGTACACTGCCCAGGAGTACTACGAGTACGACGAGATCCTCAAGCTGCGACAGAACGCCCTGAAGAAGGAGGACGCCGACCTGCAGCTGGAGATGGAGAAGCTCGAACGCGAGCGCAATCTGCACATCCGAGAGCTCAAGCGGATACTCAACGAGGATCAGGTGCGGATTTAGAATAACCATGTGCCAGCTATAGGGTTTATTTTTATTTAACATTTAATGGTTTATCAATTTCCTATTACATCCAATATTAATCTCTGGATTTTCGCTACTTATTTCAGTCCCGCTTCAACAACCATCCCGTGCTGAACGATCGCTACCTTCTGCTGATGCTGCTGGGCAAGGGCGGCTTCTCCGAGGTCCACAAGGCCTTCGACCTCAAGGAGCAACGCTATGTCGCATGTAAGGTGCACCAATTAAACAAGGATTGGAAGGAGGATAAGAAAGCTAATTATATCAAGTGAGTAGTAAAACAGAGGAGCAGGAAAAGTCAATGGGGGTCATCGGTAGTGCCAATTGATTCGAGAGTACGGATTATAGTATTTTGTAGTCAGCAGCTTTTTCATTCCAGGGGTTAAATATATACTTTTGCCATTCAGATGGGATTGGGTAATACCATTCTACTGTAAAGTTATTGTATAGATTTCTAGTTTAGGAACATAAGTATCCTCCCTCAATTAACTTACCTAAAGTAAATCAACGTAAAGGCTAATGGGCGGGTCACTGCTCCCAGAAACAGTTTACTAAAGTCTCTTCCCTTTAAAACCCCCCACTAACTAACCGAAATTCAGACACGCCTTGCGGGAATACAACATCCACAAGGCGCTGGACCATCCGCGGGTCGTCAAGCTCTACGATGTCTTCGAGATCGATGCGAACTCCTTTTGCACGGTGCTTGAGTACTGCGATGGCCACGATCTGGACTTCTATCTGAAGCAACATAAGACTATACCCGAGCGCGAGGCGCGTTCGATAATAATGCAGGTGAGTGTAACCCCTTAAACTTACCTCTTAAACTCTCGAGATTGATTAATCAACTTGGAAATCTCTTCGCTTAGGTTGTATCTGCACTCAAGTATCTAAATGAGATTAAGCCTCCAGTTATCCACTACGATCTGAAGCCCGGCAACATTCTGCTCACCGAGGGCAATGTCTGCGGCGAGATCAAGATCACCGACTTTGGCCTCTCGAAGGTGATGGACGACGAGAACTACAATCCCGATCACGGCATGGATCTGACCTCCCAGGGAGCGGGCACTTATTGGTTAGTGTTTAATATTATATATTATCCATGGAATTGAAATAATCAATCAAATCAAATTAATTGGAATTAATCAAAAGAATTTAAAACTGACTTCTAATCGTTGTTTATCAATCCTTCTTAGGTATCTGCCGCCCGAGTGCTTTGTGGTGGGCAAGAATCCGCCGAAGATCTCCTCCAAGGTGGATGTGTGGAGTGTGGGCGTGATCTTCTACCAGTGCCTGTACGGCAAGAAGCCATTCGGTCACAATCAGTCGCAGGCAACGATCCTCGAGGAGAACACCATCCTGAAGGCCACCGAAGTGCAGTTCTCCAACAAGCCAACCGTTTCCAATGAGGCCAAGGTGCGTATGCGTATTTCTATGCCATCAAACAAAATCGAATGCAATGCTAATCAATCGTTGATATCATCCAATAAACAGAGTTTCATTCGAGGCTGTTTGGCCTATCGCAAGGAGGATCGCATGGACGTGTTCGCGCTGGCCAGGCACGAGTACATCCAGCCGCCGATACCGAAACACGGACGCGGATCGCTCAACCAGCAGCAGCAGGCGCAGCAGCAACAGCAGCAGCAGCAGCAACAGCAGCAGCAACAGTCGTCGACGTCGCAGGCCAACTCCACGGGCCAGACATCGTTCTCTGCCCACATGTTTGGCAATATGAATCAGTCGAGTTCGTCCTAGCTGCCAACCAAGCGCAATTCCAACTCATAATTCGCCGCCGCCGCAGTAGCAGCAGCAACGTTTGCTGCCAGCCAACAGCAACAGCAGCAACTTCAGCACCAGCAACAGCAACAACAACAGCAGCAGCAGCAGCAACAACAGCAACAGCATCTCCTACAGTACCAGCAGCATCAGCAACTGCATTTGCAGAATAGCAGCAGCAACTATGCGGCAACGCTGCTCGATGCTGCCTTTTGCTACGAGACCGTAATGGATGCAGCCCACTTCCACAACAATAACAACAACAACAGCAACATCATCAACAACAATATGCAGACAATACCAGCAGGTGCTGCTGCAAATGCTGCTGCTACAGGAGGAGGAGGAGGATGTGGTGGTGGAGGAGGAGGAGGGGGAACACCGACCTATCAGGGGAAATACAAGCGCTGGCAGCAGCAACAGTTGCAACAGCAGGCGCAACTGCAACAGCAGCAACACAAGTTGCTGTTGCAACAAGAGCTGCTGTAGGGTAAGAAGGGTGATTGATGACTTCAACTTGAGGGAGGAGAAACGAAACGATGACAAAGGGAATTATTAAAGAACGAGGAGCTGCCTGCAACACTGCCGCCAAGCCAAGCTAATGTTGCTGCTGCAACAGCAACAACAACACCCCAATAATTTCCACAGCGAGTCGCAAAACAACAACAACAAACTTTAAATTAAAGAAACTATATATAAATATATATATGCATATATATTTTAAATGTGATAAACAAGCGTAAAGCAAAAAAAAAAAAAAAAAAAAAAACGAGAAAATAACAAGAGAGAGAAGAAGAAGAAGAAAGCAGCAGAAACAGCAGGAGAAAGACGAACAACCAAGGGGACGAAACCCCAGAAGATAGGGAAGAAGCAAAGCTGCAGGAGAAACCCAGAAGAGAGGAAGAAAGAAAAGAAAAGAAAAGAATGTGAAAGCAGAAGAAAAGCAACGGCTGACAGCTGAGAAGAAACTCCGAGGAGAAGGCTTGAGAAATTGTTTATAAAGGCTGCTATAAACACACACTTTTTTTTTGTTAACTATAAATACCAAGCAGAATAATTAACATAAAATAAATAATATAATTAAATGCTACATTTAAATTAGTAAGTAGGGTGTCATCTAAAGCAACACAGAAACGCAGAACGCAAAACACAATTCCCAACAATAACAACAACAACAACAACGCGTAAGAGAAGGCAGATAATATTTCTTCTTTGTATCAAATAATAACAATGCTAATATAAAGAAAACATAGCAAATTAGCGTAGGCTAAAAAAGCACACAGTATAAAATAGCTGAAACGGAAAGACAGCAAAAAAAATAGGAAGGATCATATAACGACGCAGAAAAAAGGAAAACACTTGCAATGGGAAATAACAATTTGTTGCATTGTTTTTTTTTCGGTTATGTTTGTTTGTAGTTCAAACATTAAAACAATAACACTCACTCATACACAGAATACAGCACATAAACACACACACACACCGCAGACTGCTTTTGCCTTACAACAACAAAAACAAACAAAAAAAAAAAAACAAAAACTTTAATTTTAATCGCTAATTTCATTTTGTATACATGCATATTAAATATTATGTATTCACGTATATATAAATCATTTCCTAACCACGAATGTCTCTTTTTTAATATAATGCACACATATTCATATTATTTTAACGCTTTTTAACAAAGATGAAGCCACTTTAAATATTATTTTAATTTTGAAATTGAAAGATAAATCATTTTTGCTCGTTTTGTATCAAAATCCAGAAGAAATTTGATTTAAAAATAAAAGATACCATAAAACACAAACACACACACTCCGCACACACACATATACATTTGTATATACTCGTATCAGAACAACAAACAAAAAATCCGAAGCGATAAAATCCAAAAACTTCATAATATCGAATGCAATTCCAAAATATTCAAGAGAAAAAAAAACCAATCAGATAACCAATTTTTTTTACGCCACAAAAAAGCAAAGAAAATGGGACAAGCGATGGAAAATCGAAAGGAGGAAAAGCTTGAGGTCGGATCAGAAATACAAAACAGATAAAATAAACCCATTTGATAATATATACTTCTAATTACATAATAACCTAATGTAATAGTTTTTATTAAAATTATATATATATATATGTATTGGTATATATATATATATATCCATGTTTTTTTTTTTAATTTTAAAACTATATTTGTAATGCACTATGCGTAAAATTGTATTAAATATTAATATCCAAGGCATATTAATAGAAATATATATATATATAACCTATATAAAAACTGAAAAAAAAACATGAACTACCCAGCTAAATGTTTCAATAATATATAGATCTAAATGTATGTAAAACTGATAAAAACAAAAAAAAATCTGCCTAAAGCCGGACGGAAATACCTACAAGTAAAAGAAGAGGGCTCCGAAGAGTTAAGAGATAGATTGAGCTGGGAAGCAGGGCGCGAAATTCATCCAGAAGCGAAAACATTTTTTTCTTTAGTCTATATTAAAAAAGAAATGCATACAAAATAAACCGAAATTAGTTTTTAGAGTGAAAATATTAAATATGGCAAAAGCGCTCGTGAAAGAGAAGGCGGGGTGAGCGCTAGAATAGGACGGCATGCAAAACAAAAGGTAGAAGCAGCAAAAACTCCCTAAAAATAGTAAAGAAAATTGTAAATATTTATATAAATAATTTATGCCTAATTAAAATTAAAATTAAAGAGAAACGCAAAAAAAAAAAAAAAAAAACAAAACCAGAACCATTTCAGATTTGTATGCAAATTTGTATATGTACGTACTTTCCTTTAATTTTAGCCAATCAGTTTGTAAGATTCATTTTTTTTTTTGCATCTTTATAAAGGATAACGATATGAGGATAATGATTCCGACTTTTTTTTTCGTTTAATGTAAACTTTTAGGATTAGCGCATACTATAGTGGTCGATATAAAAATGTGTGTGTATATCGATGCGATGTCATCGATCAACGATAACAATTGGATGCGAGAGTGTGTTGATTAAATTTGATAGAAGTTTATCTTCGAAAGTGGAAAACGAAGATTAATAAAGAAGATACATGGAGAATGAGAGAGCGAATCTATCTATAATATAATTATGTAAAATGCACATCTTTAAATTATAAATTATACATATTTAAAATGAAACTATTATTATTATTATGATTATTATTATCATTATTTTTTATTACCACTTAAGGTTTCGGTTCGATCCACAGCGAAACCAACAACAACAACCAAGAAACAAACAACAAGAGAAACAAAATAAACAAGCAAAATGTTTGATAAAAAACCCTCAGAGATGTTTTTATTTATTTGTGTCCGATTCGATTTGATTGAGTTTTTCATAAAGGAGGTTGCCACTCTCAAAAATACAACACACACGCAAGCGTAAAAAGCTAAACAAATTAATACCTACTAAGTGTTTAAATAGTACTAAACGAATCAAAATATAAATACTTTAAAAAAGAAACAAAAAATTAAGAAGAAACCAACGGCAGACGCCAACGCAGCAGCAGTATGAAAAAACGATGAAAAACGCAGAAGAAGCGAGGAAAACAAAACCCATTAAATTATTTGTTGAGTATTTTATTAAATAATAATTACGATAATAATTATAAAATTTAAATTGAACGAAATGCGAAAAACAAAAACTGAATATACATATATATAAATATATATATATATATTATATATAAACAAATTATTTAATAGTTATGCTAAAAAATTATTTAAAGTGAAAGGATATACAAAATATTTGCATGCGAGCAAAAAGCTGAAAAGGCATTCCGAATAGGTCACCGCCCCCTCACCGAAAACCCAAAGCCCCGAAACCTCACCCCAACGTTTTCCCTATTTTCCACCCCCTTGATCCCCAACCACCCACCACCCCTCGAATAAAATGAAGGAAAAAGCTGAGAAAATATAGCAAAGAAAAATATGGGGGCGGCTTATTGAGAGTAAAAAGCGCGAAGAAGATACTAAATCAATAAGTAAACATAAAGATTAATTAATAAATTAATTCCAGAAAAAAAAAAAAAAAACCTTAAAAAAAAACGAACAACAAAACAAAAGACAAAAAGCAGACGAAAAGAAAAACAAGAAGAAACATTGAAAATAAAAAAATACTAAAATGATTAAAACTAAATGGTTTTAATGGCAATTGGCAGGGCAACCACCCTCCGCGTCAGTCCCTGTGCATAATAGCCGCTGCTGCGCATTCACCTTCTTCGATTTTCTGTTTTCCTGGTATTTGGCGTCCCAAAAACAGTCAATTTTAGTTCCCAAATCGATTTTAGACACCAGGCCAACATAACTCATAGCAGGTTGCAGCTGGTAAATCTGATCTTACTCAAATAACGGCTCTTTTTTAAAGACAGCTGTCCTTGGAATGTTTCCCCTCCCTGTTCCACCAATCAGAAAGCGATCTCGCTGGAATGTACCGTTACTTCAAAGTAAGAATCAGACCAGAGATGCGAAACCACGCTGATTTTTTGTGCGTCTCACGAAAGTGGCACGCCGCTCACGAGTGATTAATAAATTTCCATGTGGTTGTTGTTGGCGTTACGAGAATAACTGGTCACGCGCTCAACACTGAACAGCCAAATTTAAGCTGATCAGCTGATCAATTTTCACCTGCTAAGCGGTTATGTTTGCCTGGTGTTAAAGATTAAAAACATCCAAATTTGCATGGGAAAAGTGTTGTTGTTTTCATAACACAAGAGCGCTGCTGCGCATTCACCTGCTTCGAAGTTTTGTTTGCGGTATATGGGGTCCCAAAAACAGCCGATTTTGCTTTATAAATCGGTTTTATGCACCAGGCAAACATAACTCATAGCAGGTTGCATCTGGTAAATTTGATCTTATTCAAATAACTGTTCTTTTCATAAGATAGCTGTCCTTGTCACGTTTCCCCTCCCTGTTCCACCAATCAGAAAGCGATCTCGCTGGAAGGCACCGTTAGTTCAAAATAAGCATCTGATTAGAGATGGAAGACCACGCTGATTACTTGTGCGTGTCACGATAGTGGCACGCCGCGCACGAGTAATTAAAAAACATCCATATAGTTGCTGTTCCGGCCACCCTGGATGACCCCCTGCGTCCGCCCCTGGCAATTGGGTAAGAGTTTTTAAAAGGATTAATTTTAATAATGGTTGACCCTCTTGGAAGTACCAAAAACCCAATCAAAACCGCGATATCCCAAATTGAATATATTATGTTCCTTGCTGAACGTTGACAATCAAAGACTCCAACCAATGTTTTGTAGGGTGAAAGAAAAAGTATGAAGAAACGTCATGGTTGGTGAGTAATCAGGTATCCTTATCTGGTCACACTAAAAAAGCAAAGCAAAAATACAATAGGCCATCGGTCCAGAAAATATTAATATATATTTTTAAAAGCGATTTATAGTGAGATATCATGGCGGCGCCGATGCAACACGAAGATCTACTGAAGCTGAAGAGCTTTATCGAGTTCGTGGACTCGAATCCCACGGTTTTGAACATGCCGCAGCTGCAGTTTGTGAAGGATTTCGTGGAGAAGTTCGGGGGCAAGGTGCCGGCTGGCGATTTCAAGATGCCCGACGCCTCTGCCGGAGGGTAAGTCTCGCTCCCTAATCCTAAGTCCGTTAGTGGCTAGCGCACGTATATGCATTATTAACGGCCATTCTCATCGTGTATTCTTGCGTTTCGATAACTTAGAAAGTGCCCGTTCGGTGGCGACGCCGCCGGTGCAAAGGCCAAAAAGCCGGCTTCTGGAACCGCCGATCCCAGCGATAATGTCTCCGAGGATAGCGAGGACGAGGAGTCCCTGTCCGAGCCCGAATCGGACGTGGAACTGGACATGGAAGGTGAGTGCGCACAGGGGTGGTGGGGCACCGAAGGGTGCACCAATTTGTGCCAATTTCTGTCGAGTCACGTGGTGATTAAGGGGTCAGTATTTTCGGGCAAAGGGGTACGATTTTTCCACGGAGTGTTTGGCAACCCTTCGAATCGGCTTTCTGGTGACACTTTAAATGGGTTAGGGAGGCAACCCTCCCCAAGTTGGCCTTAATTCAATGAAAACCAATTGCACTTTTGACATTATAAATTTGTAACTGCTATACAGTTAGAATCCATTTCAATTATATATTTAAGTTGAATATGGATCCAAATCGAGTTCAACAAATAGTCAATTGATATAATAGGCCAAAGTTAAATCGCCGCGATTAACATTTCCATTCGTTTACCAGGCGTAATCGAGGCGGACAGCGATCCCGCCCAGCCGATGGGCGATTCCTCCAAGGAACCAACCGAGGAGGAGATTGACCAGGCTGGCGACCTGCGTGGCCAGGCCGCTTCCGCCTACGGCCAGCAAAAGTTCGACGAGGCCATCGCCTTCTACACCAAGGCCATCGAGCTGAACCCAGGCAATGCCCTGTTCCACGCCAAACGTGGCCAGGCCTTCCTCAAGCTGAAGAAGCCGAATGCCTGCATTCGGGATTGCGACAAGGCGCTGGAGCTGAACTGCGACTCAGCAGCTGCTTACAAGTTCAGAGGACGTGCCCGTCGCCTCCTCGGTGACTTCGAGGAGGCCGCCAAGGATTTGCGTCAGGCGTGCAAGCTGGACTTCGACGAGGAGACAGATGAGTGGCTCAAGGAGGTCACCCCGAATGCCAAGAAAATCGAGCAGCACCGCGTAAAGCAGGAGCGTCGTCAAGCGGAGCGCAAGGTCAAGGACCGCCAGCGGGCTCAGAGGCGCGCTCGCAAGGAGCAAGCTAAGCAGAGTGCCAGCTCAGGCGGTGGATCGTCTGGAGGGTTCCCTGGTGGGTTCCCGGGTGGATTCCCGGGCGGTATGGCCGGTGGTATGCCCGGTGGCTTCCCCGGCGTGGATATGGCCGATTTGTTGGGTGCCATGAAGGATCCTGAGGTGGCCGCCGCCATGCAGGTTAGTTTTTAGAAAAACCCTAAAAATTTCTGGAACTTTCTGAACTCTATAGCACTTCTGTTAATGCTATTTATTTTTACAGGACTTCCTTGCCAATCCGGCCAACATCTCGAAGTACGTGTCCAATCCAAAGATCTTCAACCTGATGAAGAAGTTTGCGCCTGACGGAGACATTGGAGCTGCTTTTGCCCAAGCCCAGGAAAAGTCCGGAGAACCAAGCGAGCCAAAACCCAAAAAGGGCCCAGCCGATGTCGTGGATGATGGCTTAGACTAAGGATCAGGGATCGGGATTCAATAATAATTCATAACACGCGGCGATGAAAATAAGTTAAAAAATCACACATACGAAATAGAGCGAGACGAAAGTATGGCGAAGAGAGAGAGAGAGAGAGAAAGAAGTATAGGGAGTAAAAAAACACTAGGAAAAGAAAGAAAAGCTGCTGCCTTAGACATTTTCCAGCTCAGAAAAAACTTCAAGAGTTCCCTACATTTTATCTTAATTCATACATAAAAAAGGTCAGTAAATTAAAAACCATGAATATGTTAAAAAAAAACAAGCAGTCGAAAGAATAAGTTTCCTTAAACTAAAAAACGCAGTTTCAAGCATAAGAGAGAAGAGAGATAAAAAACCAATATCCGGCACTTTATCTTCAAAATAAGCTACTGAAGAAATATAAAGCAAAGAGCTAGAGACACATTTTAAAGCCATTTCCAATTTTCACATCAGAAAGGATTCACCTATGCCTACGCCATTATAATTTCACAGGAAGGTTTAAAAGGGTCCTGGAAGGATACGAAGTACGAATGTTTCCTTACTAACGTTTACAAGTCAAGTCATTCTCAAGTCTGTCGATCGATCTAGTTGAACTATTTAAAGCTCGATAAGAAACCAAAAGAAAAAGAAACAAAAACAAGAAAACATATTGAATAATTAGCCCTAATTAACTATACTCGGATACGCGGCGGCATCAGATAGCAGATTGAAAAGCGGAAAACTAATCACACCATTTTGTTAAACAAAATTGTACTGAGTAGGATTTGAAGAGCATTGTACTAAGCAAACGCATTTAGCCAACCAAACAGAAATCACTCACTCATACTCATAAACACACACATATATATTCACGGCCTGCATGCCGACATCTCAGACATTCATTCAACCAGTGATCAATGGAATTAAATAAACGAGAATCTGAAGTGCTGAAGTCCTACTTTTTCCTTGGTTGGTACATCAAGTGATCGCAAGTTGCGGGTACAAATGGGTTTACAGTCCAAGCCATACCATTTGACGATATAAGGGATCATGTAGCTCTGAAGGTTTTGTTTTCAGTCTTCAGTCTTTAAATCGAGTGGTGGTAATTGGAAAAGCTTCCTTCAGATTGCTCCAGCTGGCCCACCTGTGCGGTACCAGGGTACACTGAGCGAACAATTGGTACGTGGAGTGCATAAAAGCGTCGTCGATTAGCCGCTTGAATGGCTGCACCCTGCACCCTGCAACCTGCACCCTGCAACTCGGAACTCTGGGCCGAGAACCAAGAACCAAGAGCCATCGCCCCGCACCCTTCTCCACGTCAGCGCGAAATTGGCTAACGGACAGCTCGGCGCACATGTTCGATTATGGCCGAATCGGGCGACCAAGCAGAACCAGCGGCACATGACCTGGACCCAGAGGTGCCAAGTACTTACATAGGTGGGCGTACCTGCACAGGTACTATTATATTATCACTATCTTCACTATCATTTGCTTGGGTGCACTTATGTTTGTTATCTTCAAAAACTGCCTCAGCTGTATCTTGAGATCCAAAGGTAATATTCAATGATCATGTTCTATGAGCATTTAATTATCACAATACCTTGTTTCAGTATCATACCTTTTTTCACTACTTCGCCAATCAACCTCATCAGTATTGAGTACCATCCTTCTTGATTATACAGCTCGTACCTCGGCACCACTGAATGGACCCTGGGTTCGATTGGATCGGAAGGGGTTGGGTCGGGTGTTCGGGTGTACGGCTAGGGGTCCTCTCTCCGCCGCCCAGCCGACGTACCGCCGCGTTCTCTATGTGCATGACTGAGTGTCCCCGGGGTGGTGGATGTGGATGGTGGATGGTAGATGGTGAATGGTGGATGGTGAACGGTGGATGGTGAACGGTGGATGGTAACTGGTGAATGGTGGATGTGGATGCGGATGAGCGGCGGGAGGCGGAGGCGCAGGCGCAGCTCGGCTGAGTTGGGCTCAGCTCCTGGCGGGCCATCGCATTCCGTGGCCAGTCGCAGCGCGAGACGGTTAGCCAGGTCGGACCACCAAGCTCACCCAGTTCTCACTTCAGCTCCGAAAGCAGAGGAACAAGGAACTAAGAACTCCCGAACTCAGCTACTCCTATTCTAAGCAGAGCACGTCAATTTTTTTCCGTGATATTTGCTGTTCCCTCCACTCAGTCGGTGTGTGTGCCTGGTGCTTTGTTCGGCTTACGTGATTGAAAATTGAGACAAGCAGGACACCATGATTGTCAACATGCCCGTCAATGGCACGGGCAGTGCATCCAGCCCCACATCGAATCCCAGCAGCAACAACAACAACAACAACTGCAATAATAATAATAATCAAAATAATAACAATAACAACAGCAATAGTAGTAATAATAACAACAACAATAGCAGCACCACCAACCAAAACCAAAGTCAAAGCAACGGGGTCAGCCTGCCGGGCGATTACAACTTCCTGAAGCGCAAGTACGAGGACCAGGACCAGGATCTGGCCTTGGGCCAGGACTACGAGCCCATCGAGGGCAATCCGTGGAAGAAGCCCAGGCACCTGGACTACGACGCCGGCGACCTGCAGTTCCACCTGCAGCTGGAGCAGCCGCCAGAGAGCAATCCGCCGGCCAGCAACGCTGCACCCGCGCAGTCCGCGAGCTCCTCCTCGTTCATCAACGATCTGTTCGCCTACGACAGCAGTCTCCTGGTGCCCGCCGCCGCCTACTCGCACTGTCCGCCGTCGAGTGCTCCGCTGGAGGACAACGGCGGCTGGACGGGTGGCGAGCTGCTCGAGCTGGACCACCGCTACAACTCCGGACTGCAGGCGGAGTTGGGCCAGCTGAGCGCCACTCTGCCGCCGCCGACGCCGCCACAGTTGCAGAGTTCGCAGAGCTCGTCGGGTCACGCGCAGCAGACACAACATGGCCTGAATCCCGGCCAGAACCCCAACCAGCACAGTCAGCACTTTCTAGTGCCGCAGAAGCAGCGGACTCTGTCCGCCGGCAGACGCACCTCATCCGGTTCGGGGGGCGGTGGCAACGAGGCCACCGAGGCGGACTTCGAGGACAAGAACCTGTCCTGGCTGCTCAACTTCAAGTTCGACGAGTTCCCGCACCTCTCGCCGCACAATCAGGCCAATCATGGCCAGGTGGTCAGTCTGCCGGACGGCAGTGCTCCTCCTCTCCATCCGCCGGCTTCAGCGACGGTGGTCAGCACATCGCCCTGCAGCTCCGCCTCGCCCACATCCGCCTCCGCGTCCGCATCCGGCGCGTCTGCCACGAACTCCAGCCATTCGCTGGGCGGCGGACTGATGGACCAGCGGGCCAGGTCGCCCAAGAGCTGCTCCAATGCGGCCGCGATGCCAGCGGGCAGCGGGGGAGGAATCGCATCCGGAGCTTCGGGTGGCTGCGGGGTCGCCGGAGTGGGCTCCACCAAGACGGGGCGCAAGTTCGAGGAGCTCGTCATGGAGGTGACCTCCGAGCTGGACGGCAACGACATGATCGTCGCCGAGCACGTCGTCGTCGAGGACACTTCGTCCAAAGCGTGAGTACACTCTGCCTACTTTTGAACCTAAGAAGTCCATTAAGTAAAACACTTGAACTTCATTCATATATCTACGATTGATAGAAAGGATTTACATAGGCCAAAGAACATTATTCGAAAAAATGAAGGTCGTAATATTGGATTAATGTAATTTTGATTTGAGAATAGAAATAATAACCTAAAAAGTCTAGTAAAAGTCTAAAAATAAGTACAACATTTGAACTTCCTTCATATATCTACGATTGATAAAAAGGATTTACATACCCAAAGAACATTATTCGAAAAGAAGTAGATTACGATGGATAAATGTAATTTTGATTTGAGAGTATAGAAATAATGTTCTATATTATATCGTGAGTACACTCTGCTTACTTTTGCAAGCTAAGAAGTCCATTAAGTAAAACATTTGAACTTCATTCATTATATTTACGATTGATAAAAAGGATTTACATAGGCCAAATAACATTATTCAAAAAGAAGTAGATCGCATTATTGGATTAATGTAATTTTAATTTGAGAGTATAGAATAATATCCTATATTATATCATACTTACTTTTGCAACCTAAAAAGACTAGCAAATACAACATTTGAACTTCATTCATATATCTAAAAAATATGTCGAATAAAAAGGATTTACATAAGCCAAAGAACATTATTCGAAAAGAAGTATGTAGATCGCAATATTGGATTAATGGAATTTTGATTTGAAAGTACATATGTTATACAAATAATATCTTATGTTATATCGTGAATACACTCTGCTTACTTTTGAACCTAATAAGTCCATTAAGTAAAACATTTGAACTTCATTCATATATCTATGATTGATAAAAAGGATTTACATAGGCCAAAGAACATTATTCGAAAAGAAGTAGACCCTAATATTGGATTAATGTAATTTTGATTTGAGAGTATAGAAATAATATGCTCCAAAATATCATACAAAACGGAAACCATTAACATTGCAATCACTTGTTATTCCTAATCATCTAAACATTAATCTGCTTTTTAATTACATGAATGGTTATTTGATTTGCTAATGTACAAGTGAATAAATTTGATTATTGTGTTTTAGGCCAAAGAACATTATTCGAAAAAAAAGTAGATCGCAATATTGGATTAATGTAATTTTGATTTGAAAGAATAGAAATAATATCCTCCAAAATATCCTGTTTAAATTTGCTCACTCATAAAAAAGGGAAACCATCAACAACTTCTTATTCCTAATCATCTAAACATTAATCTGCTTTATAATTACATCAATGTTTTGTTGATTTGCTAATGTATAAGTAATCTGTTTATTGTGTTTTAACTTTATGGCAATCCTTTGCTAACCCATATTTATTTCAATTCTGTAACTCCAACATCACAAAAAATGATTTAGCCTTGTTTCAATTTGTATATTCCGTATATTGTGTTATTTAAAATCGAATTTTCAATTTTAATATTGATAGTGCTTACAAAATTATGTATTTTTAAAGGTTCTTTATAAACTGTTTTTTATTATAACCTATAGCTAAAATCTGTATTGTAAATAATTGTTGGCATTTTGATTAATGTTTCGTGAAACCTTTTCTTTCCGATTTGTGCGTTCACCATTTGGCTTTGCCGCCGTCCTCCAATCGATGCCGCCGACGACGATGAATTCCCCCACCACCGGCGAATCGGTGAATCGGCGAATGAATGAACCACCCAACCAACCCAACCAACCGAACCCACCCGGCTGAAATCCGAAACCAACCACCACCGCAAAACGAGCAGGCCAAAGAAACCACCGTTCACCTACACGGAGCTCATCGAATACGCCCTCGAGGATAAGGGTGAGCTGACTGTGTCGGGCATATACCAATGGATATCGTAAGTACAGCCACCCACCACCCACTGAACCACCCACCCACACAAAACCCACCACCCGCTTTTGATCCACCCCGCTGATGGACGCCATTTTGCAGAGTGTTTTCCCTTTATTACTGGCGAGGCAAAAGCGCCAGCCGGATGCAATTAAACAAATCTCAAGCATTTTCTTGCACATTCCCGTTGGCCATTTGATTTGCTTGCTCCTCGCAGAAGGTGTTGTGTTGTTTGCAGTGTTGTTTGTGCTGTTGTTTCTCGGTTGTTAACCAAACAGCAAAACAACAAAACAACCAGGCAGCGGGCCACAATGAAAGTGCCAAAAGTTAGCGGCTCGAACAAATTTATGGGCTGGAAAATTGCATTTTCCTTTCCATTTTCCTTGGCACACGGCGAAAAACAAGAATGTTTGCGGCTTGTTCAACAAGTTGTTTACACCTATCGGCTTTATCAGAGGTCCTTTCTTGCAGAAAGATTGATTAGTTGCTGTTAGTTTCTTTGCTTAAATATTTGCGTTACTCATTTTGCGAGAAAGTCGCATTGTTCACCATTTTTGGACAGATATTTGCGAAAGAATTTCACATAATTTCGATTTAACGTTAAGCTGAATCTTTAATCTGTATATTTCTGGTTATAGCTACAAAAAAATGAAAACAAACAATGAATTAAGCCCTGGTTCATGTCTGCTAAACCAAAACAAACTTATAAAATAATGCTCTTTCAAAGTCCTTAACCAATCTATTCATCTGAAAATAGCAAAGGTTATCCGACTTATGTATATAGTTAGTTTCCGTTCGATTTCCGTCTAACCGCTTCCTCCGGCTCTCGAATTTTCCTTTTGTCATTACCTAGTTTCCGCAGTCCACCCACCCTGCCCCCCAAAAGTATTCGCCCCATTCCGGCCATTCCGAGCAAGTTAAGTTGGAAAATATCAATTCGAGGAGAATCGTAAACGAAGAAAACGAAGAACGAAAAACGAAAACTTTTAACACATTTTTCAAGGTTCATTAATTTGGCAACCGCCCCGCGGACTCCGCACCTGTTTCCTCAGCTTTTTTCCCTGTTTCGGAGGCGGAGGCCCGGAATCAGTGTAAATATTTGAAGCCGCAACCGAGAATGTTGCGTGTAAATATCCTATATAAATTTACATATAAAACCACCCCGTTCGACGGGTGGGGGAGGCCAGACAAATAATTTATGACATTTGCCCATCACCTGCGCACCTCCCCTGCGTTTAATGTAATGAAGCGACAGTCCAAGAACTTTCTGCTCGGCAGTTCCAGAGTTTTGGAGTTTCGGAGTGGGCAACTTTTCATTAACCATTCACAAATTTACTTTGTGGCTCTCCGCCTGGGTGGGGAATGGATTTTCCTCCTCGTTTTTCTTTTGACTGGGGCTCCAGGGCCGTGTCCTCGTGCAGTCAAGGCGAAAGGCGAAAATGGCGCTTGCGCAGGGCCTCCACCCACCTGAAAGCGGCGCTTTCCCAATGGCAATTTACGAAACTCGCCCACGCGACCCCTAAACCCACCTTCCTGTACCTATAGCCATAGCCATACCCACTCCAATGGCAATAGCAATGCGATTCCCCTCCCACTCCACTCCTTAATCGTTTCGCCCTGGCAATCGCCCATGAAATTTCCACTGCTCACAATAATTATTAATTGCGGGGTGGGAGGCGCAAGTCGGGGTCCTTCCGGCCTTTCTACACCTTTTACATGCATCATTGCATCCTGGGGATCAGGTGTTTGACGTGCTCATGCCCATTCCCCCTTACCATTCCCATTCCCGTTTCCAAATGCCAAAATACTAGAGAGCAATTACCTGGCGAGGGGTTCAATTTCGAGACTCGGAGCTCGGAACTCGGAGCTCTGAGCTAGGGGTTCGGGTTAAGGGGTTAAGTGGGTTAAGCGGGGGTTGCTGCGCCTCCGCCTCTTCTTCCGGTCAATTCCCAGTGCATATTGAGTGTTTATTGGATGCGGATCACGCTCGATCGCCCAGGACATGTGGACATGTGGAAGGATCCTTCGCGAGCAACCGCAACTGGGATAACCATCTGAATTTATGGCTGCCCTTCTGGCATCTCAAATGCATTCCCCTTATCCTTGAAGGGCACCTAAGTCCAGTCATAAATTAAATTGAGGAATTCAGGAAATAGAAAACTAAAGGCAATATTGAAAGGTTGAACAACGCATTGCAAACATAAACTGTTTGTGAATTCTGTTACTCCATTTAAATTCCATTATCTCCCCTTTAAAATAGATGTTATTGCAGTTGGTTAAAGTGCTTTACTCTAAATATCAGATATTTTTCTTATTCCAAAGGGTTATGGCAAAGCCAAGGCTTTCTTCGCTTTAATCCTTAACAAATTTCGTTCGTGAAAGGTGAAAGATGTCTCCTTTGAGACGAGGACTTCCCTCCCACAGCGGAAAGCCTCAAGGCAATCGCTTCTTGGAGCAACTGCAAACTAAGATCGAGACCGATGGTCTTGGCTTTGCGATTTACCAGCGTTTTTCCGGGGGGCGTGGCCGGCCACAGTTACGCCCAGAGAGTGCAAAAAAAAAAAAAACGGAAAAACTGGCAATTGCCATTAAAAAAGTTTTTCATTTTGCCCAACTTCTGCTTTCGGCTCTCCTCCTGGCCATAAATCCAGGCAATTTCTTTTATTGGCCGGGGAGAGCCAGCAACGAGCCGCAACAATTTATGAACTGACTAGCGCAGTGCAATAAATATATGTGTGGGCCCACAGTCGGAGATATACACTATATATTCGCATATATATTGCATATATATATAGATAGATATACATATATAAATGGAGATCCGGGGCCAGAAGTAGTTGCCCAGTCTGGTGGCCCGGTCCTTGCTGCCATGTCAAAAAAAATAAAGCGCCCGAGTGTGTTTGAGGTGGCTTGCGTGCCAGGCACTTCCAGACACGGCTCGGCCCGGCCCATTTGGGCCCTTGGGCCTCCGGTTCTTTTAGCCTATAGCCTATAGCCTATAGCTGGTGGCCTGTAGCCTCTAGAGCCTTTGGAGAATCCAACCAACTAGTCCGAGCGACCATCGCAGCCTATCAGGCCTCATCACGACGGCCCGGAATGGCTGCCGCGGAGGCGAGGCAACTGGAGCGCACTGGATTGGATATTGGATAGTCAATTACATTGCACTTGCCACCGGGGCTGGACAGCCGCCACTGGCAGACAGCAAACATGCACTGCAATCACAGTCCCCAACTTGCCTTTAATTTGCACTTGGACCCGCACTTACTTAGTACTGAACCAAATCGCGAGCTTAAAGGCTCACCCATTGGGTTGCGAAAGGAAGGAAACTAAGTGCTGCCTTAGCCTCACTTTGAGCGGACTTTAAAGCACTGGCAGACTATATGATATAGTTATTATCAGCCGACTGGTGGGTGGAAAGGGGCGGGCATGCCGTGTATTTCGACAATTTCATAGCAGAGCCCTTCCTTCCTTCCTTCTCCTTTCCTTGGTAGTCACCCGAATTCGAATCCGAATCCGAGGTGAAGTCAGTCAGTCAAATTCATTGACAACGATGACGACGCTGATAGCAGCGGGTATTTGATATGAACCAAGCCAAACGAAGCCACTCAGCCAGTCGCACCACCCAAAAAGTGGGTGGTGGCCCCCACCACCTCCCCAAAAACAGAACCCAAAAAAATAAAAACGATTCCCCTTCGAGTGGAGAACTACGTGCTTGAAGCCACGTTGACAATTCGACAAGTGCGGCAGACATAACATGATATACACACTTGTACCTGCATATATAATCTATATACGTATATACACGGGTATATATATCGATTTGCTGGGTGCATGATTAAGCCCAGACAGTCATGCAGCGCCCATAAACATAAACTATAAACTATCCCATCCGGAATATCAATGGCTGACTTAATATTTTCAAATTTACAAGTGCATGCGGCAAATCGAAAAGTGCACGGATTTCGAGGGAGTTGTGGAGTTTGTACATTCACAAGTATCCGTAGTTCAAGAATTGAATCGAGGAAAGAGCTACGGACTTTAAGCTTAAACTTTTCTTCTTCAAAAGTAACTTCGAATTAAAGAGGTTTTTATCTAACAAGTTGGAATTTCTTTGCTTTCAGTTAAAGGGAAACAGATGAATTATTCAGCTTCGATTGACAGAAAGAAAGTCTGGAAGAAAGTCGATATCAGCAATCATTCTGACTTGTAGAACTGGCCGAAAAGCCAGTTATTTATAGAACCCTCTTCCTATTAGACACCTCCACTTTCCACTGCAATTCCCCGAATTGCCACTACCGAAAACAAACTTGGCGAATGCAAAACGAGCCAAGTCACCGGCAAATGGAGTTAGTATCATCCAACTGCTCCGTATCCAATTGCTGGGCTCCGGCGAAGGCAATTTCAAGTGCCACATTGATGCGTCATGACGGGCTGCGTGCCAAATCCCCGCGGGAGTCCGTACATTCAACGTATCCCCAGCTGGAATTGGGGGATCCACACATCACCCACACATCACCTACACATCACCTACACATCACCCACACACATCGCAGTTATCAGGACATTTGCGAGGGGTCATTAAGGACTTCGTTTTCGGGGGGGAAGTGCCGCGGATTTCCATATTCCAGTTCACTCCATTTATGAGTCGTCATTTCTTCCGAAAGAGGGAAAACCCGAAAGGAAAATACGGAAAAGCGAAATGGAATGGGTGGAGTGGAGTGGGGTGGAGTGGGGTGATGGGTGGTGGGTTGGATCCCCAACATTTCTCGCTCGCGTGCTGCATTTTGTTGCTTTTGGATTGCTTTCGAGTCGAGAAACGTGGGCGTAGGACGAGCAGGAGTGGAGAAATCCCGGGGGCAGTGGCAGTGGCAGTTAACCAATGACATAGCCTGACCCATTCGGGGGTTGTTTTTCCACCTCGTGCGGCGCGTGCCGACCACCCACCCACCCATTACCCACTACCCACCACCCGCTACCCACTCTACCCACTTCATACTCCGCCTGTGTGCCGTAATTTGAAATACTTTCCATTTTGTTGTCCGCCAGAAAGAGCCCGCGCCCGAACCCCGAACCCCGAACCCAGAAGCTCGAAGCCCAGCGAAGAATCCTGGCACGCGATGTCCTTTCCGGTCGTCGTTGTTTCCTCTTTACATCTGAAAGCTGGTGGTGCTGGTGGTGCTGGCGGGGAAGTGGGCTGACTGCGGGCCCTTCCACCTGCTAGCCGTAGGCCGTGGGGCATACTCCATTTTTTCCTATTCCTATACTTCATTTGCGCCATCCATCCACCTTCCGAAATCGTCTGTTCGTGACTGACTACCAACTACCAAATACCAACTGCCGACTGCCGACTACCAAATAAGAAGCGAGAAACGAGAACCCTGATGGAAAGAAGAAAAAAAACGACGCATAATTTGTGCCAGTGTCCCTGTCCATGTCCTTTTTCCTTTTCCATGTCCGTGTCCGTGTCCATGTCCATGTCCGTATTTCCCATTGAAGTATTCCACGGACATTTGTGTGAGTCTGCCGCAGTGCTGTGCGATGACGTGTTTTCGTGGAAATTGCCTCGTTTCCTTTCCGTTGCGGATTGGCTGGCCGAAAAGGGGCTGAAACTTTTATTGCCATTGGTCAACTGGCCAGTGGTGAGTGCCGAACTGAAACAGCCAATCCAAAAGGGACTCCGATACGATATAAACTTTGGCAGGAAGAAAGACATTAATCGAAATTCGGCTAACAAAAAATATTATTAAAGAGATAATTTAAATGAAAGTATCTATCTGCACATATAAAACCCCTGCCATATTTTAAACCTTTATATTGCACAACATCAAATACCATTTAATTATTTTGTAATCCTCAGCGATCGCTTTCCATATTACAAATCCAACGACGACCGCTGGAAGAACTCGGTGCGACACAATCTCTCGATTAACCCACATTTCCGCAAGGGGGTGAAGGCGCCCCAAGGAGCCGGTCACCTCTGGGCCATTTCCAGCGGTGACTCGGCGGAGAATGTGCTGGCCTGGGAGCACGTAAGACACACTATTGCCAACCTTTTAAAGTGATTTCAAGCTAATACAAATTGAATTACAGAAGAAGCAGCGCCTGGATTTGTTCTTCAAAATGGAGTCCATCAACCGGGAGCGCATTCAGCAGCACCAGCAACAGCAGCAAATGCAGCAGCAGCAGCAACAGCAACAGCAGCAGCAACAGCAGCAGCAACAGCAGCAGCAACAGCAGCAGCAACAACAACACTCGCCGCAGCAGCAGCAACATCAGACGGCACAGCAGCAACATGCCACACAGGCCAGTAGTTGCATGTACGACGAGGCGGCGGTGGCAGCGGCTACTTTGACCCAGGAAATGATGCAGCAGACGTCCAGTGGAGCTGGCGGTGGCACTGAGACAACCCAGCAGCACCACCCGAACCACCATAGCCACCACAATCACCACAGCCATGGCCACAGCCACAGCCACGGCCACGGCCACGGCCATCACCATCAAAGACTGCTGCCCTTCAACGATCTGCTGAGCGACGACGAGCTGCGAAAGACGGCGGGTCAGATCCTGAACGGGATCCATCGCGAGGTGGAGGTGCAGTCGGTCAACTCGATCATCAGCACCTACCACGACGTGCTGCTGGACAATGGTGAGGGCTGCTGGGCCAAGCACTCCAATCTTCTTGGCTACCAAACTAACACCAAACTTTTATCCCTCTTTCCAGAAGACTATCTCAATCCCATACACAAGGATGTGGTCGTAACGGAGAGTGTTCTGCGGCAGCAGCATGGCAACTTGGGAGGCGGCGGCGGCAGCAGCAACCATTTGGGCGGAAACAGCCACATGGGCAGCGGCAGCGGCAGCTCGCAGTACTACATCACGGAAATCGATCCCATGGAGCTGGGCATCCAGATGTCGCACCAGGTGGAGCCCTCCGAGGAGGAGGTGCTCTTCAGCGACGAGTTCAACCTCAACTACTTTGGCTACAATCCTGGCAGCGACATCGTCGCTTGACCGCGCAGGCAACAGACGCCAGTCGCAGCTCCTCCAGCTCCCGCTCAGCCAAGCAATTGAAAACTATATAGAATACATAAACCCTTCTCGATCCCGCTCCATGCCATGACAACAATCGTAATTGTAGCCGATCTACTCATAAGCCAACTCTAAACGAATACTAGTCACACTTAAACCACACTTACAAGTAACCACCTAAAGTTTCCCCATTTACCATTTACCAATTACCAACTACCAACTACCAACTACCATTTACCATTTACCGTCTAGAACCTATGTATAGTCTAGTCTTGAGTGTACCAATGCCCCCCTTTTTTTTGTCTATACTTTAGTTGAATGAATACCTAGTAGATAAGTAGCTTGCTAGCATTAAGTGCATGTATCCATGTTTCTATATGCTGATATGACATACTTAGCTCTTGCTCGTCTCCGAATTTAGTTAAGTGTTTTTACATGTAGCCGAATATCCGTAAATAATACCAGACAGATCTCCGCCCCTCTTGGATGTTACCAAGCTGGGGCTGTAGACCAGACGAGGCAATACTAATCCTAGTGCGTGGGAATGTGTTTACGGTTTCTCTAACCATGTCCGTAGAACTAATGGCACCTATCTGGTTTTATTCATTATGGCAAAATAAATTTTTTTTTTTAAGAAAACAAGTCCTCATTTTTGGCTTAAGCAAAATAATAGCAAATAGACTAATGGATTTTTGTATTTAGGATGCTGGAGCTTGTTATTTTGATTAGTTTGATATCCAAAATTTAAAAATCCCGCTCGATAATTGCGATCACCCATGGAGTTTGTCGCGGCTAAGTGTGGTTGGTGCACTCGCTAAGGAAGGATGATGTGATCGCTAGGTGTATGTCTCAAAAATATCGATACATCGATACTTTTATTCATTTTCGACATCCCTAGCCGCGTCGGCCGCGGTATCAAAATTTTAAGACTCTCGAAAGCGGACGGTTGTGGATGTGTACCGGCTCTGGCTTTGTTTGCATTTGCTTGTTTCTTTGCATTTGCGTTTGCGCCGTTGCCACACAATTGTTTTTGTTGACGCGCGCGTGTGTATTTGCGACTTTGCATTTGTGAACCTGAAATCACTTGTTGCTATCGATTGTTTTGGGCTTAGTCTAAAAACATAACGGCGAATGCAAGCAAAAAGATGAATGAGAAAAACAAATAGTGACCACCGAAGAGAGTTTGTTTGTGTTTGTTGCGTTTTTTTTGTTCAAGTGAAAGCGTGTGAAAAGTGGCCAACACTTGGGGCCGAAGCCCTCTTCGCACTCTCTTTTTCGCTCTCTTTCGGCAAGGGAAGAATTCGAATAAACTTAAGACCTCGCCAGCCAGCGATACCATATCCTGCCCTTGTGGCCAGCCAAAACTTCCGGCCAAAATGCAACCGCAATTGTTGCATCGGCCCAGCCTCCGCCCCTCATCGCTATCAACTTCATTATCACCGCGATCGTGATCGTCATCATCTTTAGCCACAGGTGTAGTCAGGTAAGTGAATACCTATACCTTTATCTAGATATGTACAACCACGCTGGGCTACGACATCCAGCTAATCTGATTAGGCTTGGGGTCAGGTTATATTTGAGAAACGAGATAATGTGGGCTGTGGATCCATCAATCATTCACTCAATCGCAGATCCGCCTGGGAAGTCATTTTCTTTGGTTTTCCAGACAGAGTTAAGAACCCTACAGAGGGGGATTCCAAAATGGGTTTTGGAGAGGTGTCAGAGTTTCCTGTCAAAAGTGAAACTTAAAAAATGGCTTTTATATCAAAATGAATACTATTATATTACCATTACTATTTTTGACAAAACAAAGAATTGCTACTATTTTAGCACTTAAACCTACTATTTTGTCACGCCAAACTTTTTGAGTGGCTCACTTAATTTGGCCTGTTCTTGTTTCACATTATTGAAAAATATTTTTTTTAATGTTTACTTAGCTGGATTTTGTTGCTTTGGCTTCTTTGGCTGTCATTTCATTCAGACAAGTGGTTGGGGTTTCGGGGTCAGCAACTCTCTGTGCGATCGCATACGTGATGTTTGGGCATTTTTGGCAAACTTCAAGAGTTACTGATTGACGACAAAGGTTTTGCTTCAATTATTGAATTTTTAACATTTTTTTTTAATAAGTTTCGAATCACTTGGAGTTGGGAAAACCGCCCGTGGCGGTTTCCCATTTCGTTTTTTTTTTGCTGTCCTCAATTGCGTAAAATATGCGTAGCTGCTGCGGCGATATTGCTGGAGCTTTTTTGCAATTTTTGTTCAGCTTTTTTCCCCGATTTTCACCTGCTTCGGCAACGCCTTCAGGTGCGTAGCTCCGTTCAGGTAATCGATGCGTTCGGCCGGCATCGCAAAATGTTGTCCCGTTAAGAGTTGTCGCCGCCAAAAGATTGTTAATTGCCGCTGTGGTCGCCAAACCTGTACTCTTTGGGGCATTGGGGGGTTAAGGGGCACGGTCTGCGCGCTGCCATGTAATTAAAAACCATCAGCGATCTTCGTAGGTTGCCTGCCAATTTCATGGGGTAAAAAAAAATTCGAGTAAGAACTATAAAGCTAAGTGGACTTTGAAACACGGAAACCCACTTTTCGAAAATTAAAATTTTAAAAAATTTTTTTGGTCATTGATAAAGATAAATCGGACATATTTTCAATGCAATCTTTGCACTGTATTGCTTATTTCCCTTTGGCTCTGTTAGGAGAAGTAATAGATGAAAAAGCAAGAGCAAATAGAATAAATTTCCTAAGGCTAAATTCGACATTTGTGTTCAAGTTATTGCTGCTATTTTAAATTGGAGCAACAAGTAAGACATGTATGCCCGGCACAGACAAACAAATGGTAATTTAGCAATTGTTCAAAGCAAATTGCGTGAGACTCAAACGAGTTGAAGTCGAGGCGGTTGACCTAATGCCAAACCATAGGAGTTATAACCCAGACGTTAAGAAAATATGGATGTAAAGTACTTCAATAGTTTAGGTTCAGAGCAGTCCACAAAAAATAGAAACTTTCTGAAGTTCAAAAAGGAAGCAAAGCTTTAAAATTTTTTTCAAAATCCTAATTCTCGCCCCATAAAACATAAACTAAAATCCCAAGGCATTATTGAGTGCAACAAGACTGCCGCCACCCTTGGGAAATCGAACGCCAAGAAAGCCAAACCAAATCAAAATCAGCACTTTTTGGGAACCTCTGCGATGCTGGTTTTTGGAGGGGTTAAACTCTGGCGGAGGACTGGGGGAAGGGCACGTGCCTGGCCGGCTAAAAATGATCCGGGAGTCTGGGAGAAGGGACGTGGTGGTGATGCCTCTGCTGGCCATTGTAAACAATAAACAGATCTTTGATTGCCGCTGCACATGTGCAGGCCAAAGCAGTATATATACTCTATTCAGGGGTATATATAAGAGTCCCTAGCCCTGTGTGTATTTGTATGTGTATGGGTGTATTTATGCGCCGACACCATGATCTGCAGGCATTAAATTAAGTATTCACAGCGTGTACTTAGGAACTGGCCCCTAGTGGCGTTCTCATTTCTTCTAATGATGAGAATGAAGTTCGCAGTTCGTAAAGTTCACTTTCCTGCCAGATTTAATTTGAGTTCTGCCTAGACAATTCGGAAACTTTGTTCGATCTTAAAAAGAAGCCATCTATATGCTATTCGTATTAATATTGAAACAAAGTTTACTTTGAGATATCTTAACCATTAATGTATCGGCCATATTATAGTACATAGTTCGCCCCTCGGTTTGTTTTTTTTTGGGTGTTTCATCGTCATAGAAAAACCGCTCGACGGTTTGGAAGACACTACTTCTGAGATTCAAGAGGAGACGGCGAAACGACAAAATTTTAATGAATTATCAGAGTGCCGGCGATGATGATGATTATCGCGGGCCGGGCTGTCATTGAACCTGCTTTGGGGCTCCACGGTTCCGTCGCAGGGCATTGTCTGCCACTGCCACTCGGATCTCCCATGGCAGTCTTGGCAGACATAGCCATAGTCGTGGCATATTATATGGTATGGTATACCAGGCCACGGTATCTGTCTATCCATCTGCGGATGGCGTTGCCATCGACCATTTGTCATCTTGTGGGCGTCGTATTCCGATTCGGAATCGGAATTATAGTGGAGTGGCGTGGTGGTGTGGTGGTGCGGTGGTGCGGTGGTGGCGGGGAACCCAACTCAAGACGCGTCAAACTCCCCAACTATTCCCATTTTCGGGGGCTTCTCCGCTCGCTTCCCGGCTTGTAATTACGTTCGATCTGCGTTAACGTTGCGTGTTCTGCTTTTGTTTTTCGGGGCCATTCCGCTCGGGGCATTCAAATTTCAACAACGTCTCAACTAAAGGAGTCGGTGCGGACCCGGTTTCCTTGAGGTTTTCTTTTAATCGATTTTAAATTGGCGATTGATTGATCGAGATAGCCAGTACTGGTTTTTCTGTCTCGTCAAAGTCCTTTTGCAATGCGATCGGTGCACTTGTCCTCTCCACTTCAGATGCATTTTCCCGTTCCCCGAAAATGCATTCATCTCAAGTGGCCGCAGTCGCACTTTCCCAGCGCAATGCGAACAAATTGGGCATTTCTCTCCCATTCGAAACGCTTCGAGTTGTGTGTTCCATGTGGAAGCGATCACTATCTCAGTTGGAATTATCCTTATTATCATAAGAAGTTTTGCTCTTCCAATGTTTTTCCATATAACCGACTGTAGTAGAGGTATAGCATTTCCAACTGAGTGCCAAATTTATAAAACGTTTTGAGCTCATCAAGATAAATTTTAGTAGTTTAATATGATTAGAGAAGTTTTTGCAGATTAAAACATTTATAAACCGAACAAAACTACACCCTGGTCTAGCTTCTGCTGAACAGATTTTTTATGATTCCCAAGTTGTTCACACGCGACCGCTTTCACCTCAGACGAACCCAGTGGGCCACCGTTTACTGCAATCGGGTGGCTCAAACTCGTTCAGATCGATAGAACGATGCCGATTTGTTTTTCCACAGCCTCACGCAACTTGTGGCATTTTTGGCTAAGAAAACACACATGTGTACGCATACAGACTCCAAAGGAAATCTCACATGCAGCATGACACGGCTCTCCGACAAACAATTAATGTGTGCGCCGGTCGGGCCTGGCCTGAAAAAAGAAACCCATTAAAAAATGTTAATTTCCATAAAATAAAACCGTCTACAGAGAGATGGAGATGGAGACCAAGAACGTCAGAAAACCGCACGTGGCTAAAAGCCACAAAATACGTTTAGAAGACAACGAGAGCCGTGTCTGTGTGTCTGTATATTCGTAGTTTGGCTTTTTCGTTGATGCCTTTTTTTATTTGGCGGAGTTATTATGCGTGGAATTTGCATAACACACCCACAAGTCGAAAAAAATCGATCCATGTCTATCAGTAGATGTTTCTGTATCTTTTGCTGGATCTCGTTAGGCGCATCTAGCGCGGATTTATGGCCAGTGCCATAATTAACTGGTCGAAGGTGTTGCTAATAGCTGTGCCGAGCGATTCACTAATGAGTCCTACATCTGATAGGCCTCCGCGGCCAATTTGCATACCTCCATGATGATGGATACTCACGATGGAAGATCCAAGCTCCAAGCTCCAAGCTTCGAGTTCCGAGATCCGAGATGACCGCTGTCATAACTGACAGCTGCGGTTTCTGCCACACACAAAGTTCCGATTCGCTACGTTTCCATTTGATTGGCTCCTCACGCCACAGTGGACACACAGCATAGATGGACAGGGAGGCTGGGAGCTGGGAGCTGGTACTGCGGCTCTCCATAGAGATGCGATTTAGAGACAGATCGCGGAACTCTTGGCTCTTTGTCGGCACCCAAGTCAAATGTGCCCGGCTGCGACGCAGTTCAAATCGCAAAACTATAAATTATGCTGTCAGTCACAATCAACCATTGTCTTGGCAGTTCTCGATTTCGCGGTCGCCATGGGACAGTATGGTACAGTACCCCCTCCCCACCAAATCCCTGGCCAGATCGAGCTTTAATGTTGTAGCGCTTTCGCGCTGAAATTTTCAGCACAAAGACGCCCATTTTACTCAAGAGCCATTGCTTTTACAGGGTGTGAAGCGGCCGAATGGATTTGGATTAAATTAAGTATAGTAAAGGTAAAAATATTAGTAAAAGGTTTTATCATCTAAATCTACCCGCCACCAAAATGGTTGTGCTCTGTAAACTAAACAGATTATTCAGTTTTGGAGCAAATAGAACATGGAGGCATTGCACGGAACGCCTTGGTCCATCATTCTTGCTGCAGAGCCTCTTGATTTGCAGCGCGACAATTGGGAATGCCAAACTAATGTCGGCACCTGAGCTTGCAACTGGAATGCGCCGCAATTTGTCGGCAGTGCTCCGAGCTCGTGCCCCCTTCAATGGACTTCGCTTCAGTCCGGTGGAGTTCGATCTGGCTCGGCTAACTTGGTGGCATTTCGGTTCAGTTTGGCTGTGCACAGAGTGGATTGTACACCGAAAAGTACAGGGACAGATTCGAGTCCATTTATATTTATAAAGAACAGATCATCCGCTTGCTACATTTTTGCTCTCAGTGCACAAAGGTGCTTGGGCGGTGTGTGGGCGGCGCTTCCATAGATAAACGCGTTATCGCGCGGTTTACTTTTGTGTGGGAGCTCCAAAGTTCCGAAGTTCCGAGCCGAAAAGCTGGCCGTTAAATTGTCAAATTAAGTACGTGGAGAAGGCAGCGACACGTGGGCTCCGTCAGCTCCCATTTTTTTTCTTTGTCCAGCAGCTGGTCAAGTGCCGCCGCTCTGGAAGAGCCGAGATATATGGCTGCCCATAGGAGGGACTTAAGACACGAGCTCCCAGCTCCGACACGTTCAACTGTTTCATTTGCAGTGCAGTCGGGTCGATAAACAAAGGCTAGGAGAAGAAACTGCATTGATTTCTCAGGGTCGGAGACAAGGCACTCGCTTGCGCCAGAAACGATGCCAACAGGTGCTCAACATTCTTGGCATAGTTCCTAGAGCAATTGGGGCCTCGATCGCCGGGACGGGGCATGGAGATGAGATGGAGCCCGAGTGCCTCCACGAGTGGTATACAGTATACTGTATACAGTATACGTACCACGGCAGGTGGCTGTGCACTTGATTGAGCTATTGTAATTGTCAGTCATGCCGGAAAGTGCAGGGAGGCTCGAAGGCCCCAAGGCCCGTAGACTCGGTCTAGTGGCACCACAAGAATCTGTGGCAGAAGAAGAAAGTTTTCCCGATCCAAGGCAGTCGAAAGAGTTTGCCAGGCCATATTCAAATTACAGGCATCCTTTTTCAATGGGTGCTCTTTACTGAAATGATTCTGCCATTAAGGCTCCGATAATTTTGTTTATCAGGAGTCGAAAGGATTCCATTTATTATCTATCAAAAGCTTTTGTGGTTTTTGCCTAATAATGGTTTTTAAAATTTTATGAATGGAAGCTATCAAGAGTTAATCGTGTTTTCTTAGAGTTGATATACCCAGCCCAGCTAAACTTAAACCAATTCATTATTTTGTTATGAGCTTTGTTGTGGCCACTGGACAGCTTACAACTTGGGCTATTATCTGCCCCCAGTTTGATTTGCATTGTGTCACGTTTTCCGGCGAGGTCAATCCACTTCCACAGTCCACCGTGCATACGTATGGCTTACCTATCCCCTGGCCAGTGGCCACTCATGACTAATGGACCGATCTGGCTGGCAGAGACGCCAGCTGGTGGCGCCAGCATGGGTTAAGACATGGGCCAAGACTCATTCCAAGAGAAGACCGACAACAACATAATGAGTGGCCAGAACCCATTAGCCTGAAGTCTGCGTAATTGTCGCGAAAATTCGAGTGCGTGACCGACCAACAGGGAAACACAAAAGCCGAAATGTGTGTGTGGCCCATGGGGTAGAGAAAGCTCTTTGCCCCAGAAGGTTTCTGCTGTCCATTTTTCGGTGATGAAGATGTGTTTTTTATACCCGAGACACCTGAATCAAACAGCTTTATTCTTTGTTTTTTCATGCGGCAGCTGGAACTCGGTAACAATGAAGTTGACTAAAAATATAAGTTTATTGGAACAACCGAGTTCGCTTTAGTATGTACTTTTGTGATATCACTTTTTATAAACGTTTTCATACATGCAATCATACTTTAGTTTATCGCTAAATATATTATCTCATTGCGAAGTTTACAATAATAAATATTGATAAAGAGAAACAAAAGTTGCGTGAGTTGCATTGCCGTCTTTTTTGTCTGCTTCGCTTGTAATTTAACAAGAATTTCTTAATTATCAAAAAAAGGAAAAAAAGAGGAGTGGAAAATTATAAAGTTTATCCGCACTTATGATGTTGCATGGCCCAGTGATAGATCCTCGAATTGAATTGACAGCGAGACGATGTCGAATGTTGATTGGCTGCTGCCACAAATTGTTGCATTTCACGCAACAGCAATTGAAATGCCGCTGCTGCTGCCCCTTCCTCTTGGCTTCTTTTCGTTTTTTGTTTGTTTCCAACCAACCAACTCAACTCGATTAATATGCAAAACGGCTTTTGTTGCAGGTGCAACTGCCGCTCGGGAAGATTATGCTAATTAGGGTGCAACGGATCGGGAAAGGTGAACTGGTGCCCTATGGCAGCATTTATCAATTAGCAACGTTCGCCGCATAAAACCCAAATTGAGCATTGGGAATTGGGAATCTCTCGACTTCTGGGCTCGGTTTTCATTTTCATGCACACAGCTCTCAGGTTTCCACTTGAAAATTAATTCCGGGAATTGAGGGCAATGCCGAAATGGGTTGGAATTTAATATTCAAATGTTCGACGCTCACCCAAAAACATATTTATCAAACTGATTTGTGATTTGTGATCGGAATGGGAAATTAGAGACCAATCGGATTTATTTAATATTTAAAGAATTCAGAAAACCAATTTAACACAAAAATTCCAGCTAAGTCTAGATTTTACCTATTCAGCATTTCTATTTTTAATAACCGCTATCAGCTATCAGCAGCTAAAAATAGCTTTAGAAAACTCAAATACAACATTTTGTTCGACCTTCGACATGTGGGTTCCATGGTGTAATGGTTAGCACTCAGGACTCTGAATCCTGCGATCCGAGTTCAAATCTCGGTGGAACCTTGGCTAGCAATTATTTTTGTGATCATTTTTGTTTTGGTTTCCGAATGTGGGTCTTTGAGAAAGTTTCTTTGCCATCTGGTTGCTCAACTTTTCTGCTTTTCTGCTCGCATTGCGAAGCAGAAATGTGGGCAAATAACACGAACTGAACGCATAAAAACTGAAAGATAAAAAGTGCCTTGGCCGAGCCGTGCAATTTGATGAATGAATTGCGAATGTCGACGGCTGGCCTGCAATTAACGGTTGCATAATCCCAGTTGGCCATTTCCGCCAAGTGACACAAATACCCACGACACGCCACTCCGAGCTCTGGCTGTGAATGGCTCTTGGAGGAGCACAGTGTCCAGTCCAATCTGGGCGACTTTCACTTGCAGAACTCTTATAGAGAGGCACACAGAAGAGTCTAAGAAGCTCGTTCCAGTTCGGAGTCCTGCCAGCGATTTCACTTCATCAATATTTATCGCAGCACTTCTCCTACATAAACAATCGCTAATCTACCGGATGAATTAACCATTAATTTATGTCAAATTTTAGCACACTTTTCAAAAGTGCATTCCACACTTGAAGATAAAACGTAATTGCTCTAATAAATACTTTTAAGGTTCCTAAAACACATCAGATATGCACATCACATTTGGAAATCTGGGTGGATTTTCTGTGTTTGAGATGTAGTTTTTTGAGTTTACAAACTCAGTGACCTCCTAGGTGATATGGGGTTTCCGTGTAGCACTCGGATTCCACCTTCGTGCTCACGCTTCTGCTTTGCATGAGGGAATTTTCACAGCTGCTACTAATTGCTGGCGACACGTCAGGGCCAACCCACATCATTTTGAATCTCGGATCTCTGGAGTCTCAGATCTCGAACCTCGAATCTCGAATCTCGAATCTGGGCTCTTGGTTTCTCCCCTGGCATGACAAGATGTGTGGACTTTTCGGACACCTCGGTTGTGGGTCAACATCAGCAGCTGTCAAGGGGAATCCGCAGATGAGTGACACTTGTCTCTAACCTTTTCCTTCCTTCTCCTCCCTCTTGCAGCCCAGTTGGTTGAATGTCAGCCCGAAGTGGACGCAGAATGACAACACCGGGCACACTGTATCGACTGGCCAGTGGCGCAGCCACCCCTGCCACGCCCACAAACGGCCTATATGCCCAGCCGCCCAAGCCATATGCGGTCGGCTCGATCCAGAAGGGATCGGAGCGGAATCGGATCCTGGAGCTCCTGAGAGCCCCCAACAATCTCACCTCGCCCAGTCTGGAACCCTCCTCCAAGGGACTGCTCAATGGACCAGGCCAGAACAACTGTTTCCTCAACTGTGCCGTACAGGTATGTACTTAATAGATATCTATCATATGAGATAAGAAATTTGATAATTTATTATAGATTTTAATGATAGTTTTTAAAGGGTTTAGCAGTAATATTATTTATATTCCATACTTTTTGTAATTGTATTGCAAACATTGTTCGAATTCCCCCCAAATGTTCAATGAATGAAACCTTGACTTTATTGACGGCCTCCACTGGATATTTGGCAACCTTCGAACTCGTCATCCGAAAATTGTGTTAATTGGCTGCCGACTCTTGCTGGAGAGTCTGTGAGTCAGGTCGACGTTGTGGGCGCCACAGATGCACCATATAAGGTGTGCAACCACCCACTCGCCTTTCGGCTCGAGTCTTCAATCTTCAGTCGTCGGTCTTCAGACTTCCCCCTGGGTTTCAGTTCTCAGTCAAGGCAAACTTTTCACATGGCCAATTGTCGGGTTGGTTCGCCGAAGGCAGAGTTCTGCGAGTTCTTCTTCGAGGAACCAAGAGCGCCACCCAGTTGCATAAATTTTGTGAGCAGCTCTTAATAAGCATAAATCTGTATATTAATGATGGCCCCGGCAAGTGGCCCCTGCTTGAAAAACGGGGTTATGCCAGGGGAATTATGCAAAACCGGGTTCGTACAACAATTAGTCCGATTGCAACAAGAAATGGGATGTCAGACAAGTGGCTCCAGCCCTGGTGTTCCATCTGCAAACTTTCCCACTTATCGGTAACACGTTCTCCAAAAGATCCCTCAAGATTGTACTAGTCAAATTGCTCTGGTCCAAGTAGAACTTGGGTGATTTGGATCTGGCTCATTACTACTTGTTTGGAGTCCCCATTAAATGGGGATCCCAATCTAACCATCTGGAGAAAGTATTAAACATTAAAATGAGTAAGCCTTTAAAAAACTTTTCATTCAAAGCTTGGTTTCTTAAGTATACCCCTCTTTATTTTCAATTGCCAGAAGATAATCCTACAAATTATCCATAAACACTGAAGTTTAGGCACTCGATCATCTTCACACCGATTTTCACTCGATAATGGACGGCCATTGTGTAACTGTCTTCGGGCGTTGCAGTTCAATTATCGATTGGATAAATCTCGATCGCCATGACTCACTTGCGTTCAGACACAGTAGTTAACCCCTTCCAATCGAATGGGATCGTCAGTGCTTCGATTTTAACTGGGAGTTGGAAGTTGGAAGCTGGGAGTTGGGATATGAGTGTTGCGAGTTGCGAGTTGGGAGTGGGGTTGGTGGTTCGGATTCGGATTCGGGCTTGGGATCTCGAGATCTTGTGGCAAGGCGAGGCGAGGCGAGGCCTAGGTGCGGCCACTAGCATTAAGCTAATTGCACGGACGGCATATGCTCTTATTTCGGTTTCATTTCTTACATGGCTGCTGCTTTTGCAACATACGAGATCCAGGGCGTGGCATCGGGCGACACGATACGTGTCGAGGGGTTTACAGTCCAAGTAATTCGAATCGGATGCATACCCTCTTAAATTTCGTATATTTAAACTCTGCAACATTGTTTGCATAGCTAAAAAAATATGAAATATGAATTTGAAATTATTTCCCAGAACGTTTTAAAAGTTAAATAAGCGATATACTAATTTTTCAGCAAGTAGAACAGACTTCTCCCAATAAAATAGACTTAAAACAAGTATAACCCTTAAACCCGATATACCCCAAAATACAAACAATGCTGTGTAATGAAAACAAATCAACGCAAGACAATGGCAATCAAATGTGGCCAAGTCGCGTGGGCCAAGCCCAAAAGCATTTGTTGACAGTTGCCGGCCTTTATTTCCATCGGTTCCATCTACAGATCTACAGATCTACAGATCCATTGTCTGGCCAAGATCTTCGAGACAGAGTGATTTGATTGTTTTTGGCTTTCTTTCTTCGAGATTGCTGCCCAAAGTCAGCAGAGTCTGTTTATTTTTTGGAAGTAGCTTCCGCTGCGAGCTGTGGTTTTAGGAAGCCAACTGAGGCAGGCAACTGGCAACGCAAAACCTGCTACAACTAGCAACTGGTAACTGGCAACTGGCCACTTGCAACTTGCAACCTGCAACGGGCAACCTGCAACTGACAAACGCTGAGAACACAGCACTCCGATGAATCCACCTGATATGCTTTTAATGTGTTTCTTTCGCCGGAGTCGGGGGCACTCAACTGCAACGCGAGACCCTCGGCGACAAAAACGATATATTCGTATTCGTATTTTCAGTAAGACGGGGAAACCTTCAGACGAACCAGCGTCTTGGCTCTTTTGTGGTGCCGAGTGTAATAAAGTAGCTGCAAACAACTTCCAGTCGCACCATTTCCCTGGGCTTCAATTTCAGCGTGGAGTAGACGGTCAACAATCGGTCCATGATATGCCCTGGCTCTTCAAGCCGAAAGGGGGGACAGAGGGGGTTGTGGGGGAGTATTATGCTCATAGACTCGCACATCATTTCACAGCTACTACTCCAGTTCCGAGACTTGAAGACTCGTAGACTCGAAGACTCGAAGACTCGAAGACTCCCCTTAGATTAGTTCACACGATAAGCCAAACAAACGGGCCGGCGGCTCGAGGGGGTTCCACTTGGTTGGCAACTAATATGAATTTGATATTTATGGCCAAAAGCAAATGATGATTTCCCCGCCGCGTCCATTGGCTGTCATTAAGAATGTGAGAAAACTTTCAAGCCCAGTGCGTGTGCCAATGGTGTCCAAAAAAAAGGGTTATGATATAGGAAGTGTATTTGCGTACGCAAATAGTAGGTTTTCTGCTCCGTAATCCTTGTTGGTAAACTCACTGTAATCAACTTACTACTCTATGAGCAACCAAAGTGGAAAGCCACCTCTGTTATTTTGGAGTACATCGCTGTATATGGATATGTGGGATTCGGGTTCACCTGTCGCCGGAGCAGCTGCCAAAAAAAGCGAACAGGAAAAGTTGATCTCAGACGGTTCCGCTCGAAGGCGCTGCCTGTGAAAAGAAGAGCTCTCCCGGTCGAAAGTAAGAAAAGAGCGTCTTGGTCTCGATTCCTGTCTGTGTCCGGCTATAAAGTAAGGTAAAGCCGAAAAGGGATCTGTTCCCCCCTCACAAAAAGCCGACCGGATCGCTCGGACTTATGCATTCACATACTCGTATATGACTCTGTTTGAACAAGAAGACGACAAGAAGTCGACAGCCGGAATAGGGGCTACGAAGGGAAGACAGGTTGCTCGAATTAAACTGTTTCGATAGGGGCCTTAATGCTCCCTGAAGCTATTCCGATTTGGGTACTGAGAAGGGAATATGCCTTGTGATTTCGTTATGCTTTCTGTGGTTATACGATTCGACCGCAAAATATGATTTAGTTTCCTAATGGGCAATTTGTATTTTGGTTTATTGGGGGTTCGGATTTGCATAGTAAATGTAAGCCATAATGAACTTCAGATATTTAAATATAAAACAATATTATAACTTTGCTCATGATAATACCTACAGTAAACAATTATCTTACTTTGTTTACTTACTGTTTACCAAAAATACTTAAGAACCGTCTTCCGCATAAATTTACTGTGTATACTTTCCTGAACCGACTGGGCTCGTTAATTGCTGTTCACAACTCATCAAGCGCCCCCAAAAATGACAAACTTTATTTAAATTCGGTAATTGTTGCCAGCAAATGTAAAGTCATGAGCACGATGTGTTATTTTTGGCCAGCATCATGGTCGGCGGCTCGTTGTTTCAGGGCCAGAAAGCGAATGTTGCGGCGCTGCGGCACCCGCATTTGTATGCCGAGTGGAAACCCAGCTCTTCGATCTTGTTTCGGTAATTGTGGCGGCAACACGGCAACATCATGTTGTTGGCCATTCGAAAGTTGTCCATGGCTTGTCCATGTTCAATGAACCTCTTAAACTGTTACCATTTCTCGTTACCACTGCGAGTTCGAGTTCGTGTCCGAAGTCTTTTGTTTGGAATCGAATTTCTGTCTCGCACACTCGCCTTCGTGGAAATGTGCGTGGCCCATGGGATTGGGCAGATGAAAACATGTAAACAGTAGCCCAAATGGAAAGTGTTTTCCGGGTTTCCCTCTCCCAGGTCTATGGCTCAATTAGTCTCCCAATGAAGTTGCCCAGAACGGGGAAATTAATTCTGATTGCAATCCCATTACGGATTACTCTGTGGAGAGCTCATGCATATGAATCGCTGCCACTTCCTTGGGTGCCTCTCAAAACCTCCGATTGGCTGAGGCGGCGAGTTCTGAGATAAAATCAAGAAGCCCATAAAAGTTTACTACTCAACTCGTAAAATCCCAGATCCGGATCTACGATAAGTAAGAATTTATGCTATGATAACTGGGAAATTTTTAAACAGATTTTAGAGTACGCTAGTGTACGAGTGTTTATAAAAAGGTTTCTTTTTTAATCGAAATCTTTTGTTTTCTTTACCAACTGCATTTGAGATTTCACAATGCATATTCAGTCTCATTAGGCAATCGATTGCTGGTCCAGACGAATCTCATTAGGCCCGCTGATTTCCGCGCGAGGTTTGTTTTCCATTTTGTGCTGAGTTGTCGCAGCCGGGGCAATTTGGCTTTAATTGAGACACAATCAATCACAAGGCAACCAAAATCGATTCAGACCGAGTCGAACTCAAACTCGATCGCTGCACTTCCGCTGGGCCATTGTTGCATTTTCAATTAGCAGGCTCGCCGCTTTGTATTTACAAGGCATTTACATTTCCATTTGAATTTACATTTCCGTGGTCAGACGTTGGAACTCGGCCAAAAGCCCAAAAGGCGGACTCGGCTCGAAAGATAAAGGTGAAAGCGTCCACATCGGCGGCGAGATTAGAAATTCTTCAGCATTTCTCCCAATGTTTTCCGTGGTAATTGTAAACGTAATGGCTACGCCAGTTGTAATTGTTATTGCGCCGAGCCCATTTCCTGTCATGTTTATACTCAGCCCTGGCGATTTTTTATTCCTAATTTTATTTCTAATTTGGTGTTTTGCTTTCTTTTCGGCACCTCGGGGCCACATAATCATAATCGTGTCGAGCATTAAACTGGATTAAATAAGCGAATTAAACATTGTACAACACGCAGTTAAATGTCAAGCTTGTCTTACTAATTTCTTGTGTTCGGTTCGGATTGAATTGGAGTTGTTCTAAAGCAAGCATAACCCTGATCTGTTTCCCAATCCACTGTTGACCCACTGTTGCCTGCAGGTGAGCCAACTAATAACTCACCCACCTGCGGGGGTCCTGGTCCAGATCCAGATTCCACTTGCAATCTAGTGGCGGGAAGTCGAGCTTTTAGGTTTTCCACCTAGCTTTCTTTGCTCCCCAAACGTCCCTTCCCGCATCGCATTGTGTGTGTGTATTTCTCGGGAAAGGTGAAGGGAAAGGGAAAAGCGAGAAAAGCGCCGAGAGAATGTGTGGTCCCTGGGGTTTTGTTTCGTGTAGCCCATTAGCCACCCACAGCCTCTGGGGATCTGGGATCAGAGGGCATTAGAGCAGACCACCCGGGAAAAAAAGACACGGAGAACCCAGATTCCGGACAGATTCTTGGCCATGTTTTGTTGGATTTTCGGGGGAAATCGGATGATTGATGATTGATGAGGGATGTTCGGCAGATAGGCAAGATGGATGATCGGATGTGGATGTGGATGTGGGCTTGGTCTTCAGATAGACGATCTTCGGTCCACCGATTCCACGATCAACGATCAACGATCAATGGCAGGCAATTCAATTAGCCAATTACGCATTGCCAATTGGCAATTGGCGAGGCACTGACATTTGTAATTACACCTGAGCGATGCCATAATTTGCACAATTGGAGCGCGGAAGTTGCACAAGTTGCGGAGTTCTGGCCACGATTATCATTATGGCCTGGCCAAGAGAGCTGGGCCCCTTGGCTTGGCTGTTGGTTGTTGGTTGTTGGTTGTCAGCACTCGCCAATTGTGGGCTCAATCAAAACGGAAGTTGGCATTGGGTGGGGACCGCTTCGAGCGCTTGCCACAACCACCTGTAACCACCTGTAACCACCGATTATACCCAGCCACCTAGCCATAGCCTATATCTTTCCCCAACCGATCGGATGTGAGTGCTGGCCGATTAGCTTCCGTTTTGGCGCCATTCGAGGAGCGGAGGAAGCGATCGGCGATCGGCGAGCGGCGATCTTCCCCCCTAATTGATTGATTGCCAACATTGTGACAACTGGATTTTCTGGCCAGGAATCGTCCACAGTCCAGAGACACCAACCTGTCGTCCAGTGCGTGAAGATGTTGTTCCTTTTGTTTTCCGCACAGATTATTTCATTTTATCAGTGTTATTATTAGTCTCTTTACTGCTGGCGTATTAGAAGAAATCGTTATGTTAATGCCTTTAATTAATAGTTTCCTCATTTTATGTTGCTTCGTGATTATGCATTTAAAAGATATTGTATTTCCATAATAAATAAGTGTGATTTGGTTTGTAATTATAAAAGGAATAGGTTCATGTTTTGTGCATCATTTTCGGTTATGATTTATTCTTAGATACAAATTCAAAGAATTTCTAAGAAAAGTTTTTCTAATGTGCTGCATTTTTTTATATTCGCCCAACCCAAATTTAAAAAAAGGTATTACAGGGTACAAAGATTGCTTACCAAACCCCTAACAATTTGTCTAGCTAGAGGCCTCGCCCAGACGACTAATTAATTACGAATTCGAGCTGGAATTCCGATTGGCCGCAAAAGGGGCGCTACCCTGTGACCCCAATCAGAAATCAGAGTGTATTAAGTTCTTATAAAGGCTTCGGGTTAAATGCCGCGATAAAAAGTAACAAATCGATTTGTGTTGGCCGGCTCATTTTGTCAATTAATTGTTCTACGGCCATAAACTAATGGCTCTGGCCAGAAGATCTGCCAACTCTAGTTGCGTAATAGTGCCCACCAAAAGCAACAATGGGTTCCTGAGACTCTTTAGCCATTCTTTTGTTCTCTGAATCTTTTCTTTGCGGCTTCCCAGTCTAGCGGCACTTTTGTCGTAGGCGTCGACTGATCGTCACCCTCGAGTTGCCACCAGAAGCCCCACAAGATCCCAAGAAGAAAGAACGATGAACGAAGCGCGAAAGAAGTGGTGTAGAATTCTTCTTGGCTTTTCTTTTTCGGCAATTTGTAGTTGTTGCTTTCGCAATTCCAGATGGAGAGCGTGCTCTTCGGATTGGCTATTTCGCCGCCCATATTTATAAGGGGGACTTGGCTCGTTGGTCTAGAGGTATGATTCTCGCTTCGGGTGCGAGAGGTCCCGGGTTCAATTCCCGGACGAGCCCACGTTGAAGAGCCCTTATTTTTACCAAAACTTTTTTTGTAAACCCCTTTTTGTTTTTAAAGCCCTGGTTAATGATTAAAAGAGAGTTTTCCCTGACTTTTTGGGAATTCGTACTTTCTATTTTCGCAAGTTTATATTAGCAACATGAACCTGATATTGGCTATTTCGCCGCGAACATTTACAAGGGGGATTTGGCTCGTTGGTCTAGAGGTATGATTCTCGCTTCGGGTGCGAGAGGTCCCGGGTTCAATTCCCGGACGAGCCCTCGTTCGATTGTTCCTTCTTTTTTTTTTTTGGGCTGTACTAGTACATTTGTTTGTACCGCCTTTTGCGAAGCCGCTGATAAGTCGGTTTATAAATCGTTATCGTTGGCATTATCGCTCCGCTTTGCGCGTACAATTTCGGACTCGCTCGACGGGAACTCGGTTCTTACAAAAGAGCGTTATTTGCGGGTTCCCTGAGCAACTGACTCATCTGGTTGGGGATTGTGTGACTGTCTGATGGACAGGAAGACAATCCACGAGGAACAGCGTGCGAACGCATAATGAGATCGAGGAAGTGACTCACAAACAAGGGAAGTTGGGGAACCACGTTTACACAAAGGTCTGCTTACTGGATTAATTTGCTGAGACAACCCGAACCAGCAAGAAGATCTTAGAGTAATTAATGGCTGATTTTAAATTAAAATGTTATTTATCGTAAGGCGATAGTTAGTGCTGGGGTTTATCAATTCTTTTTCTGAGATATTGAAGCTATTATTATATGACATTTATTTCACAGAGTAAACCATTACTAATGTTGCTATGTTTTCTGTATATTTCCAGGTATGTCTTGCATCTTTTTTATGTGAAACTCTTCCCTATAAAGTCGTGAAACTGGTAAGGTCTATTCTTCCAATCTGAACTTGTCAAGAAGAACTTTTTTCCGGGCTAGTAAATATATTTCGTAAATATAGTTCGCTGTTAGGCTTAGTTAGGCTTCTAATGTCAGGAGAAAAATGTCAGAGTTTGTAGAGCCTGACGAATCCAGCTAATCTCAGCTGTAGAGCAGCCACGCCTTGGGGGCGTGAGTGCCCTTGCCGAGGATGAAGTTTGGCAAGACTTTCGAGTCGCACCTAACGCTCGAGTGGCGCCAGCAGTACATGCGATACGGGGTGAGCACCTGCAACTGCAACAGCAACTGGCCAAGGTACCCAGCCTCTGGTTAATCCCACCTAATCCCAAAAGGATCTCAAGGCGCTGATCAAGCAGGGCGTCGAGGACGCCCCCTCGCCGCTGACCTCCTCGGACTACGAGATTCAGGCCTACTACCGGGCCTTCGAGGAGACCTTCCTCGCCGAGTGCCAAACGGAGCTGACCGGGGTGAACAACTTCTTCCTGGAGAAGCTGCTCGAGGCCCGTCGCAAGCACGGCCACCTGAAGCTGCAGCTCTTGGCCTACTCCCAGGCACCAGGACACACGGGCAGCGAGGCCTCGATACTCACTACCACCTCCGAGCGCACGAAATCCCCGAGAATTCGCAGGGGGAAGACGATGACCACCCGTCAGCTGAGAAACGCCTACGCCGAGTTCTACCTCAGCCTGGTGCTCCTCCAGAACTATCAGTCGCTGAACGAAACGGGTTTCCGGAAGATCTGCAAGAAGTATGACAAGAATCTGCGCTCCGAGGCGGCAGGCAGATGGTTCGAGGAGAACGTGGTGGACGCACCCTTCACGGATGGCTGGCAACTGCAGCGAATGACCGCCGAGGTGGAGGACCTGTACACGGCCCACTTGGCGGGCGGCGATCGGTCGCTGGCCATGGAGAAGCTCAGGGTGCCGCCCCTGGGAGAACCCACTCCGCCGGCGATGGTCTTCCGGGCGGGGATCGCCCTGGGAATGCTGCTCATGCTGCTCCTGGCCACTGCGATAAGTTGTAGGTCTCCGCAGCTCCTTCCTTAGCCCTCAATGCCCAGTCAGTCCCAATCTAAAACCCAAAGTTGTCCGAGTTAAGTATTCCGATATACCTCCAAAAACTTCACCTTTTGTTCGAGTATTCGTTGAGTTTACCAACTGGAAAACCCTCCTCTTTGGGCATTGCTGGGCTAAGGAATCCCTCCGAGGGCGTCAGTTGACTCCCTCCTCGTATTTTTAGACTGGAGACGACCTCCGTCGGGAGAGACCGTGCCGGGTGTGATGCGCCTGTACCGCGGACCCTTCACCTGGGTGATCTTCAACTTCTACATGGCCGCCAACGTGGCCGGATGGCAGCGGGCGGGCGTGAACCATGTCCTGATCTTCGAGATCGATCCGCGCAGCCATCTGCAGCCGGCCACGTTCCTGGAAATCGCCAGCACCTTCGGCATCCTGTGGGCGCTTTCGATGCTGGGATTCCTGCACCACGACTCCCTGGGCATCTCGGACCCCTTTGTCTTTCCGCTGGCCCTCATCCTGATCATGGTGGGGCTGCTGGTGGTGCCGCTGCCCATTATGAACTGGCCGGCCAGGTGGTGGACCATCAGGCTGGTGGGCCGCGTGATCACGGCTCCGCTGCACTACGTGGGCTTCGCCGACTTCTGGATGGGCGACCAGCTGAACTCCCTGGTGACCTGCCTCGTGGACTACTACTTCACGGTGAGATTCTACGTGATGTGCTGGATGCGGTGCGAGCTCGTGAACTGCTGCTTCAATCCGGACTTCATGGTGCCCATTGCGATGTGTCTGCCCGGCTGGTTTCGGTTCGCCCAGTGCCTGCGGAGATTCCGGGACAGTGGCTCCAAGTCGGTGAGCTATCTGATCAACGCCGGCAAGTACGCCACCTCGTTCCTAGTGGTCCTGTTCTCCACGCTGCGCAGCAATTCGGAGGGTAATTCCTTCCTGGAGGAACTGAACTGAATCCACAACTGAATCCTCGCCCGCAGGTGGGTATGAGGACACGTTCAGCAATCCGTACACCTGGCTGTTCCTCGCCAGCTGCGTGGTGGCCACCGTCTACTGCTACCTGTGGGACGTGATCAGGGACTTCGGACTCTTCGTCAACATGCGCGGCGAGCACATCTTCCTCCGGAAGCAGCTGGTCTATCCGCAGGCCTTCTACTACTTCGTGATTGTCGAGAACCTGCTGCTGCGCCTCTTCTGGGCCGTCGAGTTCGCCATCCTGTACCACAACCTAATGACGCCCTACAACATGAAGACCATCAGCAGCATCCTGGAGATCACTAGGTGAGAGCGGGCCGGGGGGCGGGTACCGACGTTTGGGCTTCTGACTTCTCCTTGTCAATTGGAAAAACGCATTTCTTTTTATACCATACAGTTTTTAAATTTCCTTAAATTTCTTAGATAGCGATCAAGCAACATTTTTGGCTTTTTTTTCGGTAAAACCTTCATAAAAAAGCCAAAAATCATTTTATTTTCACGGGAAATGTTTTTTCTTTCGTGTTTCCAGTCCCCTAAAAATATTGCATACCAAGTTTTTTGAAACTGCTAAAAAAATAATTTGACAATTGTTTCTTGAGTAGAAAGCGTTTTTCCAATGAACCAATTGAAGTGAAGCTCCCGTTTTTTTTTTTGAGTGTCGTGTGCCCCTTACCCGCAGACGCTTCATTTGGAATTATGTGCGCCTGGAGAACGAGCACTTGTTCAACTGCGGCAAGTTCCGGGCCACTCGGGAAATCCACTTGGCGGCCCTGAATCCTCGCCAGGAGCGAATGCTGGAGGACATGATGGACGAGTCGGACGGCGTGTCCAATCGCCGCAAGTCGAAGGACCGCACTCGCCTGGGGAAGGAGTACTTCTAGAGGCAGCTGCCTGCGATCCGTGCTCCCCCGATCCCCTCGCCAATGGCCCGTCGTCGTCGTTAATTAATTCATTTGTGCAAAAATACAAGTCGGATGAAGAGCCAGCGGCAGAGCGCCTGGAGAAAGGGAGCACGCGGAGCACGCGCCAAACCGGTTGACCAGCTGCACCCAAAAGTGGCGACTCCCCCGGACTCCCTTCTGAATACACTCATGTGTGTATATATAAATCGCCCGGTCAGGTAACAATTGTCGGTGCTGGAGGAGAGCGGCGAGGTGGGATCCTCGTGGCGAGCCGCCGATCACGGATCACCATCGCCAACGAACAAACTGTTTGACAATCGACAATCTCTTAATTGACTCGCATTTGCGATCTCCGATTGGCCCCGTAATTAGCCAAGCTGGGAAGATAATGGATTAAGGAGAAAGAACCCGCCGATCACCCATGATAATCCGGAGAAAGGCATTCTAAGAGCATAAATGTTTGGTTGCATATTTTTTACATAATGCTTTGTATATAACAAATGGATTAACGATTCTTCAATTAAGGTGTAACCATCTGGTTAGTTTTCAATACGCACTGTTCAACAGTCACAAAGTTATCTGAGATCTTTAATAATTAACGATTGGTTGAGTTCCTAAAAAATCCGTTTTATGTTCCTATTGTACAAAACCCCGGGAGATCGAATCTGTAGGGATTGAGGACTTATTTCTAATGTTTCAATGACTTAAGGGGGGGGTAAGGTCAAATCGTGCAAAAAAAGCCATGTTTTTGTGATTTTTTTCCTGACGACACAGTTAAAATTTATTTTTTCAACCAACGGTATATTAAAGTATGACATTAGAAGAATGTTTTATCAAATTTTTACAAAAAAATATTAAAAAATATGGCAATGGTAGCAATTGTCCGGACGTGTCGCCAAAAAAAGTTGAATTGCGGTGCCCCTCATAACTCGGTGCTGGATCATCTCAAATCAAAAAATGAAACTTCATTCGTTAGATAATAGTTCGCCCCAGGTAACGCTGTAAAGCTTTTTTGAAAATTGCAATTTTTTAATTTTTTCGAAGACTTTGAAGTGAAAAACACAATTTTTTGGGAAAAAATCGGTTAATTTTTCATTGCAAAATCAAAATTATGAACAAAAAAAAAAAAAACTCGACAGCGTTACCTCATAAAATATGTACAGAAATAGTGTTTAAAAATTCAAAAGGATCGGTGCAGTAGTTTTGAAGTTATGAGGGGCACCGACTTTGAAAATAGCGTGTTCGGCAAAATCGATTCAAAGTATTTTTATACGTGAAAATACGCCCAAATACGGTTGTTTAAAACGCTGTAACTCCGTTAGTTTGACTTTAATTGACTCAAAATTTTTACACAATGTTCTCGACATATTAATCATTCAGAAAAACAATAAAAAAAAAAATAAAAAAAAAATTTTTAAAACCTTACCCCCCCCCCTTAAAGAAGTTAATCCTGCCTAATAGGATTAGCTTCGAGGAAAGGATGCTTCGTAAATAATCTTTTATAATGGCATTGGAAAGCGGATAAGTCAGAACAAAGGATAAACCCTAAAGAATTTTTCCGATTCTCTGTGTCTGCTTCTTGTTTTTTGTCATTTGATTTGGGGATCCCTAATGTGAAGAAGAAGACATCAGGGCTGTCGACCAGCGGGGCGCGGGGTGGCAGTCCCGACATAGCGGAGTTATCCTCCCTAGCGGGGCTTTTCACCCAGTTATCGAACGGATTCCGCGTTGCCAGACAGTGATTAACTGGTCATCTGTTTTTTGTGCGTCATTTTGGAAACGGCCGCGAATATTCTGCTGGTGGAAATTCTGTTTTATCCTGTTGGAAAATATAAAGAGCTGAAATGTCGGGAACTTCGCAGAAACACAGGAACTTTGTGGCTGAGCCGATGGGCAACAAGTCGGTGACCGAATTGGCCGGCATCGGGGAAACCCTCGGCGGACGCTTGTCGGAAGCTGGATTTGACAAGGTGCGTGTGTGACTAGAAGGACCCATGTGCCCATATCAAGGACGCCATGTGCTCGAATCTAAAATGGCGAGTGCTTCCAATTGGTAATCCTATTTCGAACTGCCCCGCAGGCCTACGCCGTTCTGGGACAGTATCTGCTGCTGAAGAAGGACGAGGAGCTCTTCAAGGACTGGATGAAGGAGATCTGCCACGCGAGCTCCAAGCAGGCCTCCGACTGCTACAACTGCCTGAACGACTGGAGCGAGGAGTTCCTGTAGGGAAGGTCGCGACCAAGCGGGTGTACTTCTGATAGGAATCTGCTAAATGTACTGACAAATCAGCCGAACGCACTCCTAGTATGTAATACAATTAAACGTCGATCTCTTCAGATGAAGTAACTCCTTTGCATGCGCCTCATTTTCCAACACAACTTCAGTTTAACAAAGTAGTTTTCCCAACTTCTTGGCCGAGTTTTCTCTGACTGCAACTTATCTGCCATTCGAAGCCAGTCTTCATTTGCTGACTTGAGCACGAGCCAAACATAAATTTGCCATTGACTTGATGATGTTGCTGCTGATTTGTTGTTGCTGCTGCGGCTGCTGCTGCTGCCTTTGCTGGTAAATGGCAACTGCAATTTATGCTCCTTGTCGCGACTGGCGACGCTGGCAATGTCTCCAGGGAAAAGCGGAGAAAGGGAATGGGAAACGACGGCTATTATTAATTGCTGCCGCTGCTGCCGATGTTGCTGCCGTGTCAATTAAGCTGCCTGCACAGCAGCAACATTGCAACACCGCAGTGTGTGCTCAGTAGCGCAGTGGCTGTTGCATTTGCCGATGATGTTGCTGCTGATCTTGGTACAGTTGGCCGCGCTGCACACGCGCCAAAAGCAGGCCAAAACAAATAAACAAACAAACAAAGGAACCAAGCCAAACCAAAGCAAACGAACCCAAACAAACAAATCCGATAGGAGAACTCGTACCATCCAATCCGAGTCGAGTGGAGCCTGGCCGAAAGGCGACAGCAACTAGCCAAACAAGGCCCAAACGACTTTAGGCCCAGTTGCTGGCAAGAGGGTTGCACTGCGAGCTTGGGGAAAAGTTGAGGGAAAATCAGTAAAAAGAAACTATACACTAATGCCTCCAAAGGGTTTTGGAAAGCTCTTTTTTTCTGTGAGTTTTTTTTTATAATATGCAAGATAATCAATGTTTGATATTACAAATTTTACCCACTTTTAGTCAGCTATTAATTACCTGCTTCTGTGTACTTCGACAACAACTATTTATAATTCCCCGCCATGCGCATCTCCTGATTTATGAGCACTCCGCGATGTGACTGCCCTCAGTGGCCAATGTCCAACTTTGGGCACTTGGCCACTCCACTCCTTCCTCACTGCAGCACCAAGATGGCCAACTGCAGTTGCGCTCTGCTGTTGTTTACTATTTTGCTTTTGCTGGCTTGTTGTGAGCGGAAAATGGCGCGCAATCAACAGGCTGGCGTACAAAGTCCAAAAGCTGCGAGTGTTCTCCCAACTTGGCTTTAACCCTTTTTGCGGCAGCGTCTTTGGCTGCCAGCTGAGCTTGATGGCCAGCTCGTGCTAAATTTAGCCAGGGAGCAGGACACGTTCGCTTGTTTGTTGCTTGTTGCTTTGGAGTGTGGAGTGGAGCGGGGAGGGGAAGGGGAAGGGCCTTCTTCCCCCGCGGAGGTGGAACCAGTTTGGCCAGCTTTGGCTCCTTTTCCTGGTTTCGAGTTTTATGAGCGCGCGCGCGTTGATCCCTCGTTGGCCCCCCTTCCCCCCGGGAACCCCGCTGCTGCGATCCCCCTTTGGAACCCCCGAAACCCCTTTTATGGAGCAGCACGCGTCCATGGGCTCGATATCCCCAATATCCCCGCTGCTTATCGCCGGTTCCCCCGGCCACAGCGGGGATTTCTTCTGACGCAGCTCATAAATTTATGTGGCAGCCTTCTGATTGCCTTTATGCTGCCGTTTTTTCTCTCTCTCTCTCTCTCTCTCTCTCTCTGTCCTTTTCTTTTTCGCTGCTTAATTTGTGCGCATAAATTGGCTGGCAGCCAAGTTCTACAGCTACAGCTACAGATATGGCCGAGTCCTATATCCCCCTTCCTTTCTGATCCGATCACTTGTCCAGTTTTTTGCTGCGAATTTCGGACAGCCAGCTGCCTCTTTTTATTTCGGACTTTCAGCTGCACGGAGCTTTTAGTTTTGGAAATGCAGATGGTTTTCAAGTTGCAACAAGTACGAAGAACCTCCACTTCTTTCCGATTGGCAAAAAATGTAGGAAACAGTGAAGTAAACCCGTGACTTATGGCTTACAGCTACTTGCTGGCCAATCTCAGCTCGGGCCAATTACTTTGTTTACCGTTTCGCCAAGTTACCAAACTCCGAGTCTTGGGCTATGTTTACTCTATCTGGGAGTGGATCTGGGTGCTGGGTGTCTGTCCCCGGGCACCCACTGACCACCCAAAGCACCTTGGGTGCTCGGCCAGCTATTCGAATCCGACTCGGACTCCACCTGCCTCATTGGCATTAACCAGGCGAAGCTGATTCGATTGGGCAACCAATCTGAGTCCAAGTCTAATGTAGATCAACTGCTGCGGAGTTGCGGTGACTGGAGGCGACCTTCCTCCCATTTCCAGCCGGCCACGCCCCCACTGCGCCCAGTTTTCGGCCCGGCCATAATGAGCTGATGGATGTTGGCCGTTAGCGGTTGCCAGCATGGAAAATTGCAAATTATAATGACGGGCGGGGGAGAAGTGGAAAATGGAAAACTTCGGATTCTGTCGGTTGGCTGCCAGGGGAAATCGAAGGCGACAAGTGATTTTGGCGGATCGGCAGCTGCGGCAAATGAATTTCAATTTAATTAGCCAACCCAGAAAACAGAAAACAGAGAACAGCAGGTGTTTGTGTGTGAGCCAAAGGAATGCCAATGTAATTGCAACAATTTGTTGCCGGCTGTTGCACGACCAGCAGCCACACACAAAAATTATGATAATTGTCAACGGTCGAGCCGAATTCGAATTCCCAATTGTCAGCTGGGCGTGCCAAAGATTGCAACTCAATATCTCGAAATCTACAAGACTTCTCAGCTTGGAGATCGTTAGTCCGATGAATTATGCACAGTTTAAAGTTGGAAAAGTAAAACCTAATAAAACTAACCACAAACAATAAAGTTCTGGTTGTAAATACAGAAAGTGTGTCAAGTATATATTTTTGTATATATTCCAGCTAATTTATGATAAGTCCCTGGAATCCCTTCTCTGCGCAGCCAGATATCCAGATGGGGGGATTTGGGGGGATCGATCCCTAAGCGGCTTTTGGCCATCCCGCCATCCCATCTTTTGTTTAATGATAAGCTTCCATATTGGAGGCGCGCTTGGCTTGGCTTCGATTTTCGATTTTCGTGGCTTTTGGCGCGCAATATTCTCCTGACGGCCCCGAGTGCCACATAAACAAGGCTTCTTCGCGGAATCGATGGGGCAACTGGCCCCCCAAAACAAAAGCCGCGCCAATGCAGCTAATGGGCCATGAACCAAAAACCAAAACCAAAACCAAGACCCAAACCAAAAAGAGGAGAAACGCGAAGAAGAGAAGAGGAGAAGACGATGATGAGGATGGCGAAGAAGCAACCTCAGCCTCCAGGTCTGCAGCATCACGATCGCAGCATAGCCCACTATATATATACTATATACCTTCTACATAGGAACCCACCACCAGCAACATATCGCCAGCATCTGCCCCCGCAACTGCCACGCCCCCCTTGCTGCGAAGCCCACTTTGGCAACCTCAATAACAATATTTTTTGTTGTTATTCGCGTTTCTCTCGCTTTTCTACCTTTTTGGCTGCTCAAGCTGACTTCTTGTTGTTGTTGTTGCTGTTGTTGCACGTTGATTTTGGAGCAGCAACTGCGACTGCGACAAAACTCGTTAAGTCTGAAAACGTGTTTTTCGTTTGTTCGCTCTGTACCTTTTTCTCATTTACGTACTTTTCTGTCTTTCTGTTTTTGTCGTTTTTTCTGTTTTCTGTTGTCTGTGCTGATCTTAACTGCCGCCATTTTGTGGCTCGAATCAGCCAAGCTACTCTTGGGGATTTCTGGTTTTCGTTAAGTTAGGCTTTCAACCAGCTCCAAGTTGGCTTGGCCAGAAAGTTCATTTGCCGGGGGAATTTGAGAGAGACGGTGAGATCATTTCCCCTGACTTTGGGTAATTTTCTCAGTCCTCTTTAAGCTTGGCTGGGAAGTTCGAACTTGGCTTGGGGAGAATTGAAAAACCAGCGAGTTCAAGATGTAGGGGAAATTCGAAATACCTTAGAAATGATTTCAATAAGATTAGCAAATTCTAAAATATTTTTGCACAAAATGAATGGGACAATTGTAAATCTTTTTTAGTAAGGAGTGGGTAATACTTCATAAATTGTTATATATTTGGGAGTGAATTAAATCTTATGGATATACAAAACATATTTTAGACGAGCACCCAAAAGTAGGCAATGACTACGGTAAAAAATCCCCAAAAGCGCGAGAGCGATGAAATTTCCCACTTGAGCCGCCGACTTCGAACTGCAGGGAAATTGTGGCCGCTCGGAGTTTAATGTTTGCTGTTAGTGCTGTTTTCGCTCTCAACATCGAAAGACGTTCGCCAAGCTGCCGTCGCAGCTCCAAACAAACCTTTTTTTTTGTTAAACAAGAAACAAACAATTGTTTTCGAAAAGCAACCAACAAACCATATTTTTTTTTGTGCAACCAAAACAAAGAAACAATTTCTTTTGTGGATTTACGTACTGTTTAAAGTGGATTAATCGGTGGAAATCAGATACGAAGTGATCTTAGAAACTAAGAGCCAAGCTTGCTCTTCAAGCCCGTCTGCGTGTGTGTGAGACTGTGAGCGTGACATTAAAGCCAAAAGAGCCACTAACAACAAATGTTAACTAAGCTGAGGAAAACCTAAACCGAAAAAACCCAGCTAAGTGAACGCAAACAGGTGCGAAAAGTACAAAAGCGTCGGAGAAGAAAACGAAGAGTTGCCCAAGAACTCGAAAAGGGTTGCGGCAACTTCCCTTGCTGGCTTCTTCTTCTTCTTCTTCTTCTTGCTATTTTTTCGTGCTTCGTGTTTTCCCATTTTGCGGAAGTTTGCGGAAGGAGGCACCGAAATACAGCAACAAAAACCAAGACACGATGTGCTGATGTGCTGAAAAGCTATTGGGGGAAAAACAGCCTTCAGCATGGACACGGTGGCCATAAAGACTTCCCTGCCACATGCCCCATTGGCGGGGCAGCAACAACAATTGCTGCTGCAGCAGCAGCAGCAGCAACAGCAACAACAGCAAGCCGCAGCAACAACAAATGGCCAAGCGTCGGCGATCGTTGCCAAAAACAATAACA